CTTACTTGCAGTTCCGCATCCAGCTCTGTGGTCCTCAGTATAGGAAATATATGGACTTGCTAGAAAGGGTCCATAGAAGGGCCACAGAAATGATCCAGAGGGATGGAGCACCTCTCCTGTAAGGAAAGGCTGAGACAGTTGGGGTTGTTCAGTCTGGAGAAGAGAAGACTGCAAGGAGACCTTATTGCAGACTTTCAGTTCTTAAAAAGGGCCTGTAAAAAGATAGGGAGAGACTTTTGCAGTAGAGCCTGCTGCAATAGGATGAGGGGTGATGGTTTTAAACTAAAAGAGGGGAGATTCAGGCTGGATGTGAGGAAAAATTCTTTACAATGAGGGTGGTAAAACACTGGCACAAGTTGCCCCAAGAGGTGGTGGATGCCCCATCCCTGGAGACATTCAAGGCTGGGCTGGATGTGGCTCTGGGCAACCTGATCTAGTGGAAGATGTCCCTGCTCATTGCAGGGGGGTTGGACTATTTGACCTTTGAAGGTCCCTTCCAGCACAAACTATTTTATGATTCTATAGCGTACACACTGAGGCACTTCATGTCAGGGTAGGGGCCTATCTGTTCTCAATGTACCTCCTGTAACACGCCTGCAAATTTTGTAACTGGATCAGTGTGCAAATAGTACTGCAAATCCCTATTTCTTGGAGACTGGCCTGAACACCAAGCAGGCTAGTTTCTGTAGCCAGGCTGTGATCTGCACCAGTAACTTGACAGTGTTGCTGGCTGTGGACTAGACAGGCAGGTCCTTCCTAACACCAAGGATTATATATTGTTAAAGACTTGTGTTTTGTCCACCATGGCCCAGCCCCTTCAACCACTACACCTGATACCACACCCTGACTGCCACAAATTTACACACAACCCCACAACCCCCTGACTGCGGCACACCAATCCAGAAGAAATGAAATACTTTCTAGATTGGCAGGAAATGTACTGCAAAACAGTGCTCTCACAGACTGAGTAGTTTTCCAAGCTACAAGTTTCTCTACCAATATTACAACAATCACATGGCAAGTCAAAAAAAATGAGTCCCCCATATACACAAACAATGTAGTGAGTCTTTAATTATCTTCAGGCATGGAGAGATACAGTATCATAGCCAGTTCCTTTTTCTTAGTCATACTTAGAATGACAACAAGAGGTAATATAAAGTACACTTAGCACACAATGCTATTTCAACAAGTTTAAAACATGCAATGTGTTTAGGAGCTACAAGGGGTGTAGTGGCTAACTGTAATCGCTACAGCTCCAGTGACACTGCAGCCTTAGCAACAGAAGAATCATTTTCATTTCCTGAAGTGCTTCTTATCTGTCTAGGAAAAGAGATTTATGCAAATCTCTTTTATCAGAACCAGTCTCCCATCAGTCTTTTTTTTTTTTTTTAAATACCAGGTTTATGAGCTATCATACATTATGATGCGTACTTCTCATGCCTGTTCAAAACTGCAAACGTGGTCTCATTTCCCATCCAGTCAGCCTTCAGAACTAATGAAAAAGTATCCATCAACACCACTCTTCCAAACCGCCACCACTCCTCCTGCAGCTCTCACCCTGCAGAAAAGCCACCAGTTAGAGCAATGGGAATTTATTAGTGGGTGAGACACTGCCCTCTTAGTCCCAGACTGTGTAATCCTAAACCAGGAGAGCACACTACTCAGTGCTGTCTGTCATACTCTCACTCTTCGCACTGCTGCCACAGCACCTCTCCTAAACTTGCTTGGTCTCGCCTGAAGATGCCGTTCTGGAGAAGGAGCAGCATACACATCTCCTCGCTCAGTGGGGAAATTCAAAGAAGCCATGGAAGACTCGTATAGAGTGAAACAGGGAAGAAAGACAGCGTACATGCAGACTGCAGCACGGTGAAGATTATAAGGAGATGCATCAGTAGATAAGTGGATGCTTATCATAAGGAGACGCATAAAAGATGGACTTGAAGTGGAAAAAAATTGTACCTGAGTGTCATTCTTACATCCTTCCCCTGTTCCCCCTACACACACATGCATCAGAAGTGACAGGGTGGTATAGGGAAGGCTCAAGCTCATTAGCCAGTTACTTAGGATTCAGAGACACATTCTTGTCCCACCTTAATTTGCTCACTGGTAAAATCACCCAGTGGTGGAAAATTCCGCTGTGAAAGCACAGGAATTAGCATAAAACATGCATATGTTACCTGGCTGAGCTGGAATACAAACATCTAAAATGGATTCTAGCTTTCAAGGGAGGGGAGGCTTTCAGGAGAGCAGTCATGCCAGGTGGTCAGCGGCAGGGAAAATAAGGGTATTGAAAACCAGTGTAATGGAGTAGGAAAAAGCCTGTCCTTCTACGGACTTTTACAGAAACAGAAGTAGTTTGCATTAGCATTTACAGCAGCAGTCAAGCTCTTTATAAATGAACCACAGCTCCCTTCCCATATGTGCTGCAGTTACTTGTTTTGCACTGTCTGAGAAGCATTTTCCAATTAGCATACTGTAAAAATTCTTTGGTTTCCTAAGAACTGCTGCTGCCTCCACTCAGAAAGAAGTCAGCATGTGGATTCATGGATAATGTCCTTTTATACATAATTTTTTTGCTAAATATATATACACCTTATTCTTATACATTAAGTGCATCAATATCTAACAGTGCCCCTAATGAATTAAGACTATTACATAAAACTGACAACCCACAGTCATACTTCATTGAAATCAATGTTCAGTGGTTGTCACCTTGCTGAAAGCCACAAAAATCTGCCAGGATGTACATCCACAACCTGGGCATTTTATGTGCCACCTTATTTGGCCTTATTTTCCTGGCTCTGCAGTTTGGTAAACTGTGCAAGTATGGGGTATGATTATACATCACTCAGCGGAAGCAGCTGTCAAAAAAGCAGTACTGAAGAACCTTGCAAATTATTAGTACTATGGTTTAAATTAAAAACTCCAGTTGTACAATGCAGACCTTCAGATGTAAAGCAGGTTCTCGGTAAAAACTGGTGCTTAGAGTTCTAAAACTCTTTTATGAAAGAAGGTTGTTAATTTGCAAACTGTAATTAAAATTTAAACTGTCTGAAAGAGATGCTCTTTTGGCTCAGTGACCTTCTCACTTAATAGTAGGACATTAGTCTTGCCTTACTGACAGAACCAAACCCAAAACTCCAATGCATATGTGTTTTGCACTGGGAGGTGTTGGTTCGTTATCATTCCAGTAAGAAATGCACTCAGACTCAAAAGTCTCATTTAAAATACATTTTATTAGAGATAATGTTATGAGGAAAGAGGATAGTATAGCTAATTTTGTATCCCTTCAGATGGTGGGAACCCCAAGTTATGCAGCATAAAACAGGTGTATCAGGGCACAAAATGTCGTGTAGACCACATCAATGCAAGGGTTACCCCATTTTTGTTGTTTGAGCTATTACAGGATTTTCTTAGAAAAGAACAGCTTCATTCTACTGTGCTGAAAGGATGTTCACATGGGAACACACTGCTGCACTTCTAGACAAAGGCAAGGACACACACAAGTGGTGTCACCCACCACCAGTACCAAGCAGGGCTGCCTGCTCCGCTCTTAACAACTATCCAGCTGGATTTATGCTGTGTCTCAGGGATATCCCTGAAATCCACGCTGGGCAAGCAGAACAGTGCAACACAGCTCAGGCCTGGGCTTACTCTGATTAACTGACAGGTACAATGCTCTGCAGGCCAGGATTGCTACCATCATTATGCTCCCACACTGAACATTAATTTAAATCACTATACAAGCCCTGCTATCAGATGCTGCCAGTCTCCGCTGTGTTACCAGAACTACCCCTCCGGCCTGCAAGGAACTACAGGCTCTTGGGACTCAGATGGGTTCTGCTTGTCCTCCCAGTGTGGATCCCAACCATTAAAACCCGGAGGTGAGGGGAATGAAAATGTCCCCTGTGAAGCCAGATAATCTGTGAGATTTATATCTGTACTGCTAAAGGAGAAATCAGACTCGGGTTTATCCACTGAAATGCTGAAAAGTTTGTAATATAGAAACTGGAATATAAAGTTTTAACAAGAATGGTAATAAACAGGAGGATGGAAAGTGGCATGCAGGGGAACACAGAAAGGAAGCTCAGCCTGTCTGCTGCACCACTTACCAGAGACTTCACAATTTCTCCAATCTCCAATTTAAGTAAATAAGGTGAAATACTTCATGCTCCCATGCTGGCAATATTTGTATTTCATGTTATGCACAGTCAGTGGCTGAAGGCCCACATTTAATTTCCTTCTCAATTAGCTGTGTCTGTGTCTGTTTTCATTTCTGTAGCTTCAAAGTGCTCCTAACAACCTATGCAGCACAGAAAATCCTACGAAGCCTCACCTGAAGAAGTTCTACTTTGTTGGCTTTTGCTGCTTGACTTTCAAATACCATCATGGTTTTTATAATCAACCTCTCATTATACAAATATTTTTTAACCTTAGCTCAGGTAATTCCAGGATTCATTCTAAGGACAGACATATTACAGTTCTACTTCTTATTTATTCAAATGGTATTAGGTCTTTAAGATTAAACCCTGCTGATGACCTTTGAAGAAAAACAGTAGATTCAGAACTGACAGTCAGTGTAAAGAATTTTTAGCAGGGCCTCATTTATGAAAAAAAAACAAACCCAAAACCCAACCAACCAAAAACCAAAACCAATCCCCACATATTTAAAATTATTCAGACAATGACATAATATTTCTGTCACATAAAAGACATCTCAAAATAGTGTACTTTTGGCAGATGCAAACATGGTGACATGTCACATGGTAAAAACTGGGATGCAAGCCTAGATAAGCACTCAGCACTTATCTAGGAGCACTATTGTAATTTATTACCTGAAAATAATGCTGTTTTAAAAATAAAGTTAATAGTGCTGGTTCACACCTGCAGAAACACATAGTATTACTCCAGACTATGTGGTGAAAGGGATGTTCAAACACCTTGCAAGCACTCACGCATTCCGCACCAACCCCGAGAGCAGTATGAGCAAACTCTCAGCCTTGTCTGAGGTATTTTTTTGTATTTTATTGTTGCAGATCTTACAGACATTAGCGCTCAGTTAAATAAAGGAATGTAGCACAGTAAATACATCACAACAAAATAGCTGGCCAGAAACTCCCCACCCTGCCCACCGAAAACAAAAAGCTCATTCCTCTCCCCCATACCCTCCCCTCTCTCAAATTAAACCACTGCAGCTTCATTACAGAGGTCAAAGACCTGTGGCAAAGAACATCAGAGGAATTACATTCAGTAGATGTGCAGTATCAACATTCCAGGCTCACATAGATTTATATATATATTTATATTTATATATAGAGATCATTAAATGTTTACAAAGAACAATATTGTTACAAATACAATACTATGCTTCTCCCAATGCTTTACAATAATTTCTATTCACCCTCTTTTACAGAACAATAGTACTTCATTGCCTAGGTACTGCGCTAAATATGTGCAAGAGATCTCAACCACACTGCAGTCTTCAGAAATACAATTCATCTAGAAAACAAGCAAAGCAAGCAAACCTGGAAGTCCTAACTGAGTCTCAAATTCAAACAAGACCCAAAACAAATGTGTGAAACTCACCGACAAAAAATATAAGGGATGTTTCATCCTTAATGTAAACACTGAAGAGTTAATTAGAGTGTATGAAGTGTCAAGGTTGAAAAAGAATTCAGGTCTGTCCCTTAAGAAGGAATGTAAACCAGCAGTTTGCTCCATTGAATCTGTCAAAAATTCACATGTAATCTAAGAAACTCCTGCAACAGTCTAGAGAACCATCAGCTTTCTCTTCCAAGCTCCTTTTCCTTGAAACTCTTTCCCTTTACAAAGTAAAATGGGATTGTTCACAAGACTGTTATCAGAAGTGTGTATGCACTAAGGACCTCCCAGTTTAGAAATCTTATGCACACACTGTAACTGGAAAAACTGAGATTTTTTTTTTTTGCTAGACTCTGATCCTGCAAGCTTTCACCTGCTTAATGTTAAGCACCGATTTATCATGGACTGTGGAAGCACTCAAGTGTCAGCAACTTCACAGAATCTTGGCAGTAAATTTTCAAAGAAACAGTTGCTTAATCTCTAAATATGTTTGCATATTCAGATCTTCCTAATTTCCCAGTGAAGCGAGTTAAAGACCTCACCACATGAGCTGGACAGAACCACACAAACAAGTGAAGCAGAGGGTGTAAACATTGCAGGAACCAGAAGCATGATAACTGTGTCTTCAAAGAGTTCACTAAGTTTCCTCAGGCAGCTCATGGCAAGGCTGCACTCTATATAATCTTCTAAATTGTACATGGTTATATACCATATTTACATATATTACTATATATGTGGAAAGTTTGGGAAAAATGTTCAAATGGTCATAAACCAGATGTCTACAGTTAAACAATATATTCAGAAGTCATTCACTATCTAGTTGCATCAGTCAGGTAGCAGAGGTAAGTACTAACCTGGAATACTAACACCGCTCTCTTGTGCAATCTGCTGTTCTGGAGATTTGGCTTAAATCATATAACAAGAACTGCAAGTAAAATCAAGTCATCGTACATTAATCTCAACACTAGAACATATTCACTTGCTACAATAGCTTATGCACCACTTCATTATTTTTTTTAAAGATTACTGCCCACTGAAATATAAAGTTTATTCTCTACCTCTGATCAGCCCCTGGATATCCATGATTTCTGGGAGCCAAAAATGGACCTTTGGCAAGAGCGCCCAATGACTCTTAGCAGTGTTTGCACCAAGTGTGCAGATGCACGTAAAAGCACACTCATCCACTTCTATGAATCTCCATAGTAATGTCCAGGCATTGCTGCTGGACTGCAAATAATACTTAGATTGCACAGTCCACCCCACAATAACTAAGAAAAAAGTGACCATTATCCAAGTTCACATTTGCAAAGCAAAAGTGGTCTGTGGCTATGTGTGGCCTGCTCTTATTTTCATCTCACTAAGCCCTTCCAATATAGTCACAATATAGCAAACTGTTTCTTCAAAAGAAATCAACACATTAGCCTGGACTAAATGCATGGTTTGATTTCAGCATAAATACCAGTATATAGTCTGGCTAAAAAGTAACTATGGAGAAAGAAGAATTCTTCTCTCACTAGGAAGACAAGCCATTGCTTATTCCCTCCTACCCTTGAAAAACAACCAAACCCCTTTTCCCCCTTTTGCCTCTAGCATGCAAGTTACAGGCCAATTAAATCCTAATCCTAGAGTTAATACATCCCTACAATTTATCATCTTCATACAAGTGCATATAGTATACACATCTCCTTTAAGTGCTATACATACGGAAAAAAAAAAAATCAGAAGTTGAATTATATAACAAAATAAGTAAGTTTATCCCCACTTCATCCACTGCCACTGTTCTCTATTTAGTGAACTAAAGAAAAGTCAATAAAATTAGATAGGTCTTTGGACAAAAATATATGTTAAAACTGGCTCAGAGAGCAAAATTACTTAGAATAGTCTGCAGATCTCTTATATTCAAACTTCATAAATAGCAAGCACAAGTTTAAAAAGGTCTATATACACTGGCACACATGGTTGTGTGCACCAAATTCTGAATGAAGAGCCTAGAAAAAGTGTAGCTCTTCATGAAATCCCCTCATTATTTCTCTTGTAGATATTTAAATATCCTCCCCCCCCTCCTTTAACCTCTAAAATAGGCAAGGGACTATATGACGTGTTGCATATAAAAACAAAGTAGAAGAAAACAAATTAGAAACCTGGGGGCAGAGAGGAGGAGGCAGCTGTAAAAAATGCCTCTCAAATGACTCAGCATAAGTAAACACAAGTGTAACATGTTTCAACAACTCTCAAAGTACCCTTTGGAGTCCTACTATCATGAAGAACTGAAAACAGAGAGGAATTTAAAGGTGTGTATTTGGACAGTCCATTTTACAACAGCAGCATCTATTGAGTCCTCATAATCAGGTAATTCTTTCTGAGGGTGAAACTATCTTTTTGGTACTTTTTGTACAGGCATAAACTTTTAATATTGAACTCAGTGCCTGGGGGAAAATAGGGCAAGAAAAGCAAAATCGCACACAAAACATCCAAGAGAACACTTTTCACCCTACAGTTTTATCTGTTTGGTAAAGACATTTCATTAAGCAATGTTTAATTTACTCAGTTTGTAAAATTATAGCCACAAAAATAAGACTAATTATGTAGCATGAAGCAGGATCAATCTTCTTTGTGAATCCTGCTGTAAGCAATGCTGCTGTTATTTTCCTGTTTTGCATGTGGAACTAAAGTTTCACTTATAAAAAGATGCAACCAAAATAGTCCCATAGATGCATTATGCCCCTTCCCAAAATACAGGTGAATGGTATCAAGAAGAGGAAAAAGGGAGGGAGGAGAGAGAGACAGTGTATTTGTGTCTGTGAAGGAGAGAGAGAGAGATTGAGAAATGTCTCTGCAGACACAGAAATGCAGCACTAGAGAGACAAGCACTAATGAGGAAAAACATCCTCCATGCACATTGTGATGGTGAGGTGTAGGCTTTAGATGTAAACTGGTTGCTCCTGCGCAGTCAACAGTCTGTACATGGCAGCTGGCATAGTCTTCATATGAATCTAGAGGAAACACAGCAAGTTAATCCAAGTTCCTAACATCAACACCTCACACTAGACCACGTTGCTCAAGCCTCTGTCCAGGCTGGCACTGAACACTGCCAGGGATGGAGCATTCACTGCTTCTTTGTGAACACTTCATATTTTCAGATTAGTGAACTTGTAAAACACATGAGAACTATGGGTAAATAATAAAAGAAATAATATACTGGCTTGCTCTCACTTCCACTTTTTAGAACTGGATTGCAACAGCCTAATAGAGGCACAGTCACAGAGTTACGGAACAGTTGAAGGGACCTTTGAAGATCACACAGTCAAATCACAGAATCACAGACTCCTAAGGGTTGGAAGGGACCTCAAAAGATCATCTAGTCCAACCCCCCTGCAAGAGCAGGGTAACCTAGAGTACATCACACAGGAACTTGTCCAGGCGGGCCTTGAATATCTCCAACGTAGGAGACTCCACAAGCCCCCTGGGCAACCTGTTCCAGTGCTCTGTCACTCTCACAGTAAAGAAATTTTTCCTGATGTTCACATGGAACCTCCTATGCTCCAGTTTACACCCACTGCCCCTTGTCCTATCACTGGACATCACTGAAAAAAAACCTAGCTCCATCATCCTGACACCCACCCTTTACATATTTGTAAACATTGATGAGGTCACCCCTCAGTCTCCTCTTCTCCAAGCTAAAGAGTCCCAGCTCCCTCAGCCTCTCCTCATAAGGGAGATGTTCCACTCCCTTAATCATCTTTGTGGCTCTGTGCTGGACGCTATAGCCCTGCTGCTTCAGGCAGGGACTTCTTCCACTAGACCCAGTTGCTCAAAGCCCCATTCAACCTGACCTTGAACACTTCCAGGGCTGGGGCATCCACAACTTCTCTGGGAAATCTCTTCCAGTGTCTCACCAGCCTTACGTCCAACCTAAATCTACCTTCTTTCAGTTTAAAACCACTGTCCTGTCACAATAGGTCCTAGTAAAATGTCTCTGCCTGTCTTTCCTGTAGGCCCCCTTTAGGTACTGGAAGGTTGTGATAAGGTCTCCCTGGAGCCTTCTCTTGTCCAGGCTGAACAACCTCAACTTTTTCAGCCTTCCTTGGTAGGGCAGGTGCTCCATCTCTCTGACCATTTTTGTGGCCCTCCTATAGACCTGCTCTAACAAGACTTGTTCTGGAGACCCCAGAGCTGGACGCAGTACTCCAGGTGGGGTCTATGATGAGAGGGGAGTAGAGGGGCAGGATCACGTCTCTTGACCTGCTGGTCATGCTTCTTTTGATGTGGCCCAGAACATGATAGAATTTCTGGGCTGCAAGTGCACATGGCTAGGTGTACAAGTTTTCATCCACCAGTACCCTCAGTCCTCTGCAAGGCTGCTCTCAATCACTTCATCCCCCTGCACTGATACCGGGCTTCCCCATACCCATGTGCAGAACATTGCACTTGGCCTTGATGAACTTCATGAAGTTCACATGGGCCCAGTCCTCAAGCCTGCCAAGGTCCCTCTAGTAACATCTCTTTCCTCAAGTTTACGAACTGCACCACTGAGCTTGGTGTCACCCATAAACTTGCTGAAAGTGCACTCAATTCCACTGTCTAAGCCACTGATGAAGATGTGAAAAAGTATTGGTCCCAGAATGGTCACTTAAGGGGTACTGCTTCTTACTGGTTTCCACTGTTTGTTGCTGGTAACAGTGATGAACTGTTATATTGCCTAGACATATTGCCTGCTCTTACCTCACCAACAGCATTTGAGAGAATATGAACAATTTTCTCATGGGGTGTTGCTACAACACTCTGTCCATTGATTTCAATGATCCGATGGCCAACACGCACACCTCCTCGCTCTGCTATACCTCCTCTCATAAGGCTACAGATCTGGAAAGGAAAGAATAAATTTATCAGGGTCTGGACAAAGAACAGAGGCTTTAGATTACCCATTTTTGCCTGTAAACCACAAATCAGGATTTAAACACAGAGGCTTGCCACAAATTCTAAAATGTAATCAATCACTGATTCCAAGTAAAATTTGCTAGTGACAAATGACTAATTGTCTTCCAAAAGTAGGACAAACTGTCAGAAAAGGCTATATGTTGTACATCACATGCTATGGTTTGGAAATATAAGAATATATGAAGGACAACAGTTTAACAATGTTCAGGATACAAAGGTCTTACAACAAAAGAGGAGCAAGGACAGTCTCTTTTGAGATCACAAAATGGCTTGGTTAGACATGAATGACATAGACTAAAAGCAGCCTCTGCTACACATTTTTGTTTCTCTAACCTAAAAAAAATTGATCTGTTCCTCTGGCTGGCTTCAAAGTTGTGAAGTAAGTAGAGTCAATGACAAAGTAACCCTGAGTAACTTAGCTTTTATATCTTAGATTAACATATAGGCAAAGTCCTGCTTACTGTAAAGGGGAGAACAGCAGCTTCCCTCTTCCCATGCTTCCCTCTTCCCATACTTACAAATGGGTAAGAATTTTTATGTATACTTAAGTTTAACCAGACAGTGTGGAAGCTACTTACAATCCCATTCTGCACACTGAAGCCCAACTGGTATCTGAGGTCTGGTCTTCTGATCAAGACTGTGGTTACTGGAGGACACCTAACTATGTTCAGTTTAACCCGGGCCTGGTTTTTCAAACCCTGTGAAAAGAAATAACCTTGAAAAACGCTTGCAAAGATCGAGTGAAACATTTAACCTAAGCACTGGGGTGGGGCGAAGCATTAAAACTTTGACATGGGAACAGCCCTGAAAAAAACAGCTCTTTGTATGCATTTTAACTGAATCTGATCACTAATGCCAGGCATAAGCATCAGAATATTAAGTGAAATGCATGATAAACTATCAAATTGTTCTTGCCAAGAAGCTGACACAGCTCTTTTAAGAAAACTAGTTTCCTGTCTCCAATGTCTTCATTTGATAACACAAACCATGTATGAAAAGAATACTGAACAGGTCTAATGCAGCTCACCAAAAAAACCCACAACAATGACTGTGGCTGGGAAATAAAATTGTAAATAAGTAGCGTAGACAGTTACAAATAAATGGCTTCCCTAATGAGATATAATAAATTCCGTCAAGCATATAGTAGGTTCTGATCATATCATGCTTGTATAAACAGTAGTCCTTATTTCTGTGCCTTCTCCCTTCTGAACAAGCTGTATCACATTCACCATGAAGTCCTTTCTATGAGAAGAAAATTGAAGGAGGAAAATTTATTTTTGCCGTCATGGTGGTAAAACACTCGAACTAATTGCCCAGAGAGGTTGTGGAGCAGCCATCCTTGGAATTACTTAAACCCTAGTGGGTATATCCCTAAGCAACCTTCTCTACTTTGAACCAAAGTGTTGGTCTAGACCAGCTTCAGTGGTGACTGCTAGCGTCAGAGACTGTGACTGTATGTCTCCATGAAAACTCAAATTAAAAATGCAGATAAATTTACAACTTCAAGTATTCAGAGCTCTTGGAAATAAGATATTTTTCTGAAATGCTTAATTCAAAGAAAAGATTAGCCATGAATAGGTGCACAAATAAAATCCACACCAAGAAAGAAATGCTTTATAAAGAATACAGCAACTTCCACATTACTTAATACAACACCCACCAAGTCCATTACCTACTTCTGAATTCCTTTTATTCCTTTTATAGGCACAATTGAAATATGGGTCCCACAGAAATGGTGTCTGACACTGACTTCAGAAGTTTAATTCTGAAAAATAGTTCCTATTACAGCTAAGGTAACACACTGAAGTCTCTACATCCAGTTTACTGCTGCTGATTCTGTTGATCTAAACTCCAGATTCAGCAGTGATTTGAATAGCTAGACTGATACCCTACCAGGGTGAATTGCCTTAGAGTCTGTTTTTCTGGTCAGTGCCTTAAACTGGATGAAATTATCACATGGGAAACAGCTGCCCTCACTTCCACACCTTCCTGAGCTCAGCTTGGCTCATTATTGAAAGTGGCTCCAAGAGAATGGTTGTGTGACCACAAAATGACAAAGTACATGGCTGTGGGAACTGTCTCTTCTCCACTCTCAGGAGAGAAAAGGTCTGAAATCTGTCTCTTCATGACTATGGACTTCTCCACTCTGGTGGGGAGTTAGCAGCACACTCCACATGATCAAGGGTCACTCATCTTCTATATGCAGGCCTCCATAACAACACACACTGTAGAAGACAGAGACTAATCAATCTGTACTAAGATGTGGGTACCACATTTACTAAAAAGTTTAGGGGCTTTTGCCTCAGGCTTCTAAATCCAGTGTGGTAGGAGTCATGCAGCATAGAGATGTCCATTTCAATGAGGAATTTAGGTGTCTAATTTCAGTCACCTGAGTTCATTCAGGTTACATGCCCTCAACAAAGCTTAATGAATGTGCAAGTTATTATATGTATTCCTTGAAAAAAAATAATATGACCCCTGACAAAAGATTTTCTTACTTTACAGAAAGTGCATGCATTTAAAAAACACTAATTTCCAGTATTATGCATACTGGTAATATGTTTCTGTATGCTATGCTATGCATACTGTAATAATTCTGCTGATCAGAAACCATTTGACTGACTTTATTTGCTTATCTAGTCCCTGAGTCTGTTTGCGATTGTAGCCAGCACCAGATGCTTCTGAAAAAGATACGAGTAACACAATTAGGAAATAACCACCACATATGAAAGCTTCTTCCAAGCTCTGTCAGTCTGCAATTGGTTTATGGCCAATTAGTAGCAGAGATTACATCCATAATACTGAAATTATCTCATTTGAAGTGCTTGCAAGATACTCTTCTTACCTACATAATACTCTCATCTTTTCATAGGATTCTTACTTCATGCTAAAGAAATCTGAAATCTTGAGATATTTTTGCCACATTTAAATGTATGCTGAGATCATTCAGTGGCATATATGCTTGTTACCAAAGGCACTATAGGAACAGCTCCAGATGCATGGTAATGAAGACCTTCAAACATACAGACTATCTTTTCCTTAGACAATGTAAATGGTTAGAGTTCCTATAGCAACAGCAGTTATCAGTGAGGAAGAGAAAGGTCTGCAGAAGCTGGAAACAGCAAAGTGGGTTGTTTCTGTTTTGAGAAAGTACAGATGAGCACAGTGAAAATCCTTCTGACAAGGCTCTGAATCAGAGAAGCTTAATTCATCCTGGTTTTAGAAAGAATTCTTTTCTTTTACTTTGCAAAGGAAAAACATTTTGCAATTTTACCAAGTACAAAATGAATAAAACATATTACATAGTACAACTCGTTACCAGAAAGTTGCCTAATAAGTAAGTTTAACAGGCATATTCCTAGAAATCAGAGAAGGATTTCTGTATAGTACACTAGCAGCATTACATCACCTATCTACAGGACATGTTTTGATCTGCAAGAGCTCTGTGGGGCTATTTTGATGAATAACAAAGTCCATATAGCTTAAACATTCCCTGGTAACACATCTTTTCACCTCTTGAAACTCTGATGCTGAAATACCTATTCCTTTGTACACTACAGCTACCCCAGACATGCTTTTTTGCAGTTACACACTTTCCTGACATCAAGAAAACTCTTTTAATTAAAATATCCCATTTAGCCAAGTAAAGAGAAGCATCAGACTTCTAAATATATCAGGCAAAGTTTCTAGAGAGGAAAAGCACTTCTTTAATTCAAACTTTAAAAGTTTTAAAAATAGTTAAAACCAAGCAAAAGGCATCAACTCTATTTTGGCCAGATACTGGGAGGCATTTAAGCAGCTGATAGGACAATACCAGGGACCTGTGCCTCCATTTGTCACATAAAATTTTAAGCATGTATCTTTTAATATCTTCCTTCTGAACAAATGTCCTCTTGTGAAGTTCTGTACAGAGTCCTTTTCTATACAAGTAAATGGTATGGCTCACTTTCTGGGAATTAGAAGGTTGGTGTAGCATAATTACCACTGTAGTTTAAAGATCATGAAATGGAAAATGCTATACAAACAGTTGTTAAGAATTTACTTACAAATACTGTACTTTTTGGTCTCCTAATGGGGTTAATATGTAACCCTTTCAAAATGTGTAACCTCCAGAACATTCTCCTTACCTTTATAATGCTCTGACATGTTGACAGTGGTAAACCAACCAAACTGGTCCCATTGATTGACATGATCTGGTCCCCTATGTTCAGCTTCCCAGACTTCTCTGCTGGTCCTCCATGCATCATGTTGGCTATGATAACCGTAGGCAAAATGGATCCCCAGCCAGACTCCACAATTACCACACCTAGGATTTCTCCTTTTTGCTTTTCAATGTAAACCTGTATCATAAGAAAAAGTGTTTCAAGAAGTTTTTTCATATTTATAGAAGTAACACCACTCCCCTACAAGCATTCATTTAACCAAGAAATATACTGCTCTTTATTTGCAACCTGCTTTCCTAATTCAAAAGTAAAGCAAACTAGGGTACACATTTTACAACATTTCATTTGTATTCAAACATGAGATAAACACCATCACATAATACAGATTTTGCTCAGTGTGAAAACACTCCTCACAACATATGAACAGAAGAAATTGGAGTGGAAAACACCCACATGCCCTGGGCTTTAGCAGACAAAGATAATAGGAAGAGATTGCAAGAGTTTATGACTGTTGTAAAGAATACGAGAATGATTCGTGTCAAGAACTTAGGAATCATTGTTACCAATGCACCTGTGACCAGTGTACCATGTGTGGAACGTATAAAAACGACCTTGATTATAATAAATGTTGCTGTCAATGTAATGATGGGAAAGAAGAAAGAAGGGAATAAGCTAGTCCCCTCTTTAATCATTTAGACTGTTAAAACAATAAGGAACGCTTTTAGCTTTGTTTAGCTGCTTGAATGCTTTAAGGGGGTTAAGTAACCAAGGAGACACATCCTGTTAAATATACGGGTCTAAGATTGTGGTTAAGCTTGTGATAGACATCTTTCTGATAATGTACTACCGAGAAGTTTCAGTATGTTTCTTTACCTGGAGAGAAGACCCCACCAACGGGACAGAAACAAATGAAAAGGAGCCACATCGAGTTTCGGGCAAAGAAGACAACAGGATTGGCTGGAACTCAAAACCAGGAACTGAAACCCGGGACTGAGAAGTATAAGAGATTGTACCCCAAAAACCCCGGTGTGCGTTGTTGGCGGAGCAGAGACTCCCCGCACACCCAGCATTGCTTGTTTATTGCCTCTTGATATTAATCAATTATAATAAAATAATTATTTATGGCCAAGGCTAAATTTTTATAACACTGTGGATTCGAAAACCACTATCTATGTATAGGTAGACTGGCTCATCTTACTTGGTTACCCAAGATACAAATCTTTTCAGCAAACACAATATTTTAAAATCTGGAATTGCCCACTTTCACAAACACCTGTGCCTCTATAAATTTTTTACTGTTTATTGTTGTCCTGGTTTCAGCTGGGAGAGAGTTAATTTTCTTCCTAGTAGCTGGTGCAGTGCTGTGCTCCAGCTTTAGTCTGAGAACAATGCTGATAACACACCAATGTTTTAGTTGTTGCTCAGTAGCGCTTACTCTTATCAAGGTCTTTCCAGTCTCTCACACTCTGCAACTGAGGAGGGGAACAAGAAATGGAAGCAAAGCCAGGACACCTGACCCAAACTAGCCAAAGGGGTATTCCATTACCACAGGATGTCATGCCCAGTATATAAACTGGGGGGAGTTACCTGGAAGGGACTGATCGCGGCTCAGGGATGGGCTGGATATCAGTCAGTGAGCAATTGTACTGTGCAACACTTGTCTTTCTTGGGGTTTATTTTTCCTTTTTTGTTGTCTCCCTTTTAATTTCAATTATATAATAATAATAATTTAATTTATTTTTATTACTAAAATGTTCTTATCTCAACCCACAGGTTTTACCTTTTTTTCTGATTCTCCTTCCCGTCCCACTGTGGGGGGGGGAATGTGGGGAGTGAGCAGCTGTGTGGTACTGAGTTACCAAGTGGGGTTAAACAATGACAACTGTAATCTCTTAAACTGTGCTAATCTGTTAATCTGTTTTAAATTAATTTTCAAACATGTCAGAAAATTGTTTGGTAAAAAGAATACAAACAGATGGTAAACCATTTCACTGCTGATAAATTCGGGGTTCACTGTTTGCCTTTGAAACAGAAGTGATGACAGGGTGCCCTACTTGAGAGGATATCCTAGACCTACTGATGTCATTTATACAAAGTACTAATGGCTTTCTGATTTCTACCAGCATGGATCTGCAAGTGGTACAGAGCAGCTTAATGCTGTAACAGAAGAAAGATGAGACATACATCTTTGCAATTTTCAGATTTGGAGAAGTGGATCAGGTCATCATTGTACATGTCCTGGGTATTGAGCAAGTCACTATATTCCTTCTGGCTCAGGTCTTCTGGGTTGATTCCGTTTGCCCTCAGAAATTCCTGGTAGGCCACACTGAATGCTTGACCTATGGACTGTGCAATCAGCTGTGCCTGTAGAAGTTCCCAGAGAAAAGAAAAAGTTGAAACATAAACCTGAAACTTTATGCTGGTCTTGTCCACTGACACCTTCTATGTTACAATCACACTCTAAAATGGATCATCAACTTAATGAACCTTCAAGTTACTGCAATCCGGCTTAAAAATATTTGTGTTAAAAACTAATTTAAAATACCCACAAAATATCAACACATTCACCTGTGCCATGAATCCAGCCTGCTAAACAATTACAAATGAAAAATATAAATAAAGCCATCCTCTCACAGGTGAGAACTGCTAGTATAAATGTAAATGTATACTCACTATAGTCACTGTAGCTCATACCTACAATTCTTCCCACATATGCACCTCCCAGATGGCTCTCCCTTCTAGCAGAGGCAATGCCATTCGCTGACAAGCCAGCAGTGAAAATTAAAATGTCCACTAGAAAACACACATCCACATTTAAGAGGGTATTCCCTCCTTTTCTTACCCTCCTTTAAAATTCATATTCATATTGATTTTACCTCAGTCTCAGATGAAAAAGGAAAACGGCAGCAACTGGTGACCTTGCAGTGACTGGAAATAGTCACACACATCTTCTCCACCATGCTACCTCCTTTAACCCCTTTCACCTATGTTTCTTGTTTCCCTCCCTCCAGTTCCCATGACTCTGCCAGCTCCCTTTCCCTCTCAGCCTGTCCTTTGTGTGCACCCTTCAGCACCTGCAGGTTCCAATAACCTCTGCACCTAAAGCCACCAAATGCACCACTCACTACAGCGCACTGCTCCCATCGTGAGCTGCTCTAGATCTGCAGCAATGTGAGAGAAATTGTGCACAAGCCAGACACAGGAAAAGCTCTGGGTCATGCAAGGTAGGGGAAACAGTATGACAAGAGGGCTGCTTCTCTTCAAGGTAGTGATCATAGTTTGCAAGAGACAGCTAATGGCCAGGACAGGAAAGCAGCAGTACTGCTGTGCGTAACTGGAGCAATACATGCAGCAAGCACTGTGTGGTGCATAGAAGTTGGCCTCAATATATACTGAAACACTCCCTTGGAACACAGTGCTGGCTGTGGCAAAGGATGGGAAAAAGAGAGGAGAGCTGCACATCTGACAAGGCAGGCCTGGGGGAGTGATGCTGATAAATACTGCTCAGGTGTATTTTTTTACAGGCTGCTAGCTGCATTTAAACTTCAGTTTGGTCCTCAATGAATAAAAGTTTCCCAATTCAGAAATAAAAAGTTGATTGTATCTTAAAGCAACTTAAACTAGCATTAAATCTGCTGATGAGAGCAGCATGATTGCCAGTGCTGAAAAGGCCAGTAGCTAGACCAGTAGTATTTTACCATTTCTCAGATCAACCCAGTTTTGACAGTGAGAACAAGACAGCAAGAAAATGAGAAAAATACAGATTTATAGCTCAGTAACCCAGTGAGGAAAGAAATGCAGACTTTAAATTCATACACATGTATGAATTCATGCACATCTTCTCCCCAGGAGACGATAACTCCCATTTAGACACTCAGCATTTGGACATATCACTAGGGTTCAGCTCTTTTGAAGATCCATCTCTAAATAAGGTTGAAAATTTGGTGATGTGCTCCTCTTCCAAGCAGAGACACACTCTAGTCAACACCTGTTCAAGGGCTTACAGCTTTTATGTCAGTTACTGGGTAAATTCTTCTAAATACGCAACTGTCCCAGCAGAAGAAACAGTGACAATGATAAATACGTGAGTTTTATAACACAAACAGACTCACTTCACTGAATGCACAAGATCTTTGAAGCCATCTACTTGCTGCTAACAGGTGCTACAGTGTTTACATTCTAACTCTTTCTTAGTCATTTGGGTATTTGAGATTGATTTTGCAAACTATTTGCGAACTATACCATGACTAAGAAGAGTTGATATAATCTCCTACAATTTCCTATGATATTTTCACATCGTTGAGCAATGCTTTTATTGCATTTACAGGCATGTCCTTTCCAGACCAACATCCAGTGGCAGAGGGAGGATCACATCTGACACAAATACGGCTGACCCAAACAAATTGTTTGGCAGTGATGTCAGCGACAAATCATAGTATCAGTGATCCCCAAATGGAAATATAGATTCTGGCTAGCCAAAGTATTAACAGCAACCTAGGAAACAGATCCAGAAAGTCTAACCATAGTCAGACCACTGTTGGCTTAAATCATAGTTTTAAACTAACAGTAGTGTGTGTGGCTTTAAACTAACATAGTAAAATACAGCAAACTGTTCTAACTTGCTAACACGTAGAGAGAAAGGAATGTTTGGCTGACAAGGGAAGGAACATCATGGGACTGATAACAACTAAGGAGACAGTAAATAATATCAAGGATGCTAGCCTTCAAGACAAAATAGTGGCACCCAGTGTGGAGACAGACTGGAACAGAATAAAGAAAGGACATACCCATTGCTAACTCAGCACTAGCACTTGTCAGAGTGTGCAAGCACTGAGCCCATTCAGTAAATGCAGTGAGGAAGACTCTCTGCTACCACCAGAGACCCTTACTCAGCAAGAAAGCACATGCATAATTAGAATGCAAATATTATAATTAGTTCCTGGAAAAGCTATGAGTATGTGTAAGTATGAGATATATATAGCCACTGTTTGCAAGTGACGGGTGCCCTCACTCTTCCCTAAGAAAATAAGCATCCCTGATAGATTTATGTTCTCATATGTACAATCTGAGCTGATATTTGTAAGCTGATGCAACTGGGCCCTCCTCTCATTGTTACTGGAAGACATTAAAAGAACTTAAAACTGGGAACCATTTCTATGAGCACCAATTTTGTGAGTAAAATGTCAGGTCCAAACATGCAAACAGAAGGCAAGCTCCTCTGCTTAGATGAAATATTTGGTTGCAGTTAAAGAACAAACAGGACCACTTTCAATGAACTTAAAGCCTACCAAAATGGGCTTACACTTCCACCCCTAGAAAATTACAAGACAAAGTGATTCCTTACGTCCTCAGACTCAAAGACGTGGCAAATCATTTTGTACTGCCTCTTTCCATCTTGGGAAGGGTGAGATGCTTCCACATTATCCTGGGAGTTAGACCGCGGCATTCGCCTACGAGCCATCAAAACAACTATATTTCCTATATCTGCAATGTAAGAAATGGTCCGCAGGGGATGATCCATCATGGTTTCCTGAGGAATACAAATAATAACATGAGCAGCCACTGCAACAAAGTTCTTATTGCTCACACAGTATTATGAAAGCAAACAGCAATGTAAGACCCCTGTTAAAGTGAAGTCTGTAATACAAGAGGATGCTGATAAAAACCAAGAGCTTCACTTCCCAGAAGTAAAACAATGAGCAAACTTTACAAATGAAAGTTGTGTTTTCTACAGAAAAACACATAAAGACCACAATAACAGAACCTGAATACATTAGGCATGTATGTACAAAGGACTATGAGCTTCATATTATCATAACCAAATATTTTGGGCTACTCTGGACACAGTCAACACTTAATGCACCATGTCTTGTAAAAAATGGGCTGACTGCAATTAGCTAACCCGCAAATTCAAATAATTTTTACACAGGCACACCAGAGTAACTGCTCTTGAGCATGGATTTCTTCTTAGGAAATCCTGGAAGGAAATACAAAAGCTAGCACTTTTTGAATGACAACTTTTGGCAGGTGGGTGAATGTCTCTTTCAGTAGCATACTACCACAATACTGACAAAGGTGTCTTTGTCTATATACCTGTGTGTCTGCATTCAGTACTTTTATTCGCTGTGTAGAAATGAAGAGGTCCACTTCAGTCATGGGTTGAGATTCACCTTCTGGAGCCTGCAAGTAAACAGATTAGAGTCAAACAAACACATTAGGAAACTTAATTACTGAGGATGTTAGCTCACAAACAGGGGTGCACTAAGACACAGTCACCAGAACAACAATGCAAGATAAGAGTATTAGACTGCAAAAGCTAAACACAAAGATATGGAAACTATATATACATGTGATAGTCAGTATTAGCTGAAAAAAATGTTAACCTCATAAAAGCTTCCCTGGTATTTTTCTTCAATCAGTAAAATTATATCTGATGATATTTTTCCTCATTCAGTAAACTTATATCTGACTGCAATATGAACTATATAAAGATTTCATAATAATCAAAATGATTCTCCCATTTTCTCCAACTATAAATCCCACCTTAAAGGAGTTTTTCACACAGCCGTAGCTGAAAAAGGAGTTTTTTCACAGCAGCTCTTGCCTGAGGAATTTCTGTATGACCTAACAGTGACTGACAAGTGGAAAAACAACAGTAGAAAAACCTGTACCACAGGTGGGTACAGTTTATGCAATTCATAATGGAGTTCTGTTAAGAAGATCTTCACAGTCAGACAATATACTATTTAAGCACTAGCCCACTTCAGAAGTCGTATTTCGTTAACTGGAAGCAAACATTTGTAATACTTTTTTTTTTTATTAGATTTGTTAAAACATACTTAAAAACTCTCTAAATTAAATTTATTACTAGTATGAGTCAATCTCCACGTATTACTGTATGTAAACACAAACTTTTTTCTTTTTTGCATCCAGCAATTTGACACATCTGTCAATCAAAGCACTCTTATAAAAAGATAAAATAAAATAAAGTTAAAAAAGACTGATTTTTAATCTACCATTTTACAAGTCAAAACATTTGCCATGGCAGTCCTGCTTCTTCAGTACGCATTTTGGGTACTGTCTGTAACCATTTGATAAATCCAATCTTTATTTCTAACATGAAATGGCTAATGATAAGCAACAAAAAATGGCCAATCAGGCAACTGATTTCTGAGAAATGTTAACTTGCATGGTGGCTCAGAAATAAATCTAAAAGAACCTTGCTGGATGCAGAAAATAAAAACACAAAATAAAAGCAAAAACCCTCCCAGAAAACAAAAGAACAGGCATAACATCAAGCTGATGGAGTTTGTACTGCACCTTCTTCCTGCTTTTGGCTAATTTCTGGGCCATCTGCTTAGCATGGAACAAACAGAGACAGGAGAATAGTTAGAAAAGAACTTACAGAGACTCCAAGTCAAGCAGGAATCTGCATGCTTAATGCCAGGGCTCAGAGACTACTAGGTGCTCTAAATTAGTCCCTGCTTAGATTCATTTTCTCCTTTACTATTTTTTAAGAAAAAAATAAAAAATAAAAAAATTCAATTTTAGCACAGTTACTTTAAAACTGAAAAGAAACTGCACCAAAAGAATCAGGAAGACTACAAAAGGATTTTTTTTTTAAAGGAAAAAACCCAGAGCTTCCCTCATTTACAGCAGTGAAAAGCATGTTACTATTTTTGAAGCAACACGGTTGTAAATTGTGAGAGAATAATCTTAACCATTACTATTCCATTTTCCAATCTAACAAATTAGAATTCTAAAATTAGAATCTAAAGAATTAGACTCAAATTTCCTAACGCTCTCCTGCTTAAACAATCTTCAGAAAATAATCTCCCTAAAAGTACACTACCTCGTCCTAGAGAAACAAAATGGCAGAAGGTAAATTTCACCTCTATTTTCCCTTCCTTCTGTGCAAATATACCCATACCAATGTTAGCACTGCATATTTGGACAACAGGGTTTCCTGTGACACCTGCACAAAGGTATGTCCATACTACCACATTTTTTCAAGAAGGCAGTGGAGCATGTGCTTCACTTCCACAAACACCTGAAAATAAATTCCTTGTGCATAGGTAGTTTAATAGATTTATATCCAGAGATGTATCAACTCCTTTCAACAAACTGATTATTTATGTGCTACTACTGTGGTAACAGTAATGACACAAATAAGCCCCATTTTTACAGTCCTGCAATAATTAATTCAAACCAAGGTAAACTGAACTTACAGACTTGCTTACTAAAGAAATGCAATACTCACTAGGCTGGCACATACCCTTTTACTTCCAAGGGTTAACAGCCTCTTAGCTAATTAAGTCAGACTTGTGGTGGGAAGGACGCTTACTATTACAGGCTTCACAGTGATTCAAGGCTAACTACTTTTCTTGAAGAACAAGCAGGAGGCCTGAATCACAAGGCACATCAAATGTTTTATACTGATGCTCACAACTTAAATCTGTCAGGTTTTGCCTAAATAAATCTGAAAGCAGCTACTGAAACTTGAGATGGTGCTGCTTATTTGCAATTACAAACATTTTCACATTAGTTTTTAGTCTCCTTTTTAAAACTAAGAAAATATTTGATAGCTTGGTGATTACAAAATAATGCAAAAGCAATTAGAATTGCCTCATGCTGCAGGCTCTTCATTATATTGATATTAATTTACACTGGTACTCAGAAATAATACACTCATCTTGAATAACAGCTGGATAATTGAATAATACACTGGACAAGGGGGAGACGCACGTGAGAAAAAGCATTTAAATTGCTTTCTAAAATCAAGCTTCCCTGCAAACTTCAATGCTCCTCCACGCCCAAACTTCATAGAGTGATTGGTCTCATGAAAGACGAAAAACACAGGCCAAAAAAAGAAGAAAAAGGAGGAAAAAAAATCCTTGAGCTAGAGGCTTACAATGGAGAATCAAAGATTAATCGAAATATACTGATCATTCTATTTAATGAAATTCTGCTCTTACAATGGAAGCATCTTTCTGACTTTCAAATATTTAGTAACACTAAGGTAATGAAATGGAACAAAAAATTTTACTAAGTGATTTAACACTGCACAAAAATGTCAGAAAAGAAGTTAAGGCCCGTGGGAAAAGAAAACAAATTAGTATAACTCTGTGCAAGACACTTTATCAGACAAATCCTCTTTACCACCATGTTATTTTACTAATTTAGATCAAAAGACTCCTTCTATATTTTTGGAAAAAAAACCAAAACACCCAGCCCAAAACTACCTGATCTAAACAAAGTATTTTTTGTGTGTGTGTGGTTTTTGTTTGTTCATTTGGTTTGTTGGTTGTTTTGTTTTTTTTAATTCAGAGTTAAGGATTTTTGTTCAAGGTAAATAAAATGCAATTATTTATCAAGTAGCAATTCCAAAATTACAGACTGTGAAGAACCAGCAAGCTTCCATTTAAGCTACAAGGATGTCTTAAATATACTCAAGCCCATTTAACCTGTACAAAAAATGTACTGCCACTCAGTGAACACCAAGATAACAGTGAGCAAACCAAATGTGGAGAATATTAAACTATCTCCACATATGGGTAAGATCTTTAATTACATTCAATAATAAAATCAGTTGTTATCTAAAAATGTTCAAACCTCTCACACAGGTCAAATGTGCTGATGAAAAATAAAAAGGAAAGTTAATCTTTAGTTCACATGTGAAACGTTACAACGCAGATCAGCTGTGAACTGCAGCCATGAACATCAACTTTTTTGTGTTACAAGTATTATGGATGCATTCCAAGTAAAATGTAAAAAGATACTTCTTTCTGTGTTATCTGAGAAAATAAATATGGTGAAATCCCTTTCCTAAAAGTACCTCCCAGTGGAAATATGAAATAGCTACATCTGATGAGTGCCTTCAAAGGAGTGTATCTCTTAGATGGACTTCACAGAGATGAAAACCCAAGCAAAAATACTCCTGTACTTTTAACTGATAGCTACTTATTTAAAGAAGCAGCATGAAGAATTGTTTTCAAAATCTGTTCATATTCTAAATGAATGAATAGGTGGTCTGAAGGCTCTGCTAAAAGAAAGCATCATAGAGATTATTAAATTCAAAATATGCTCACATGGAAGATATGTGTACACACCAGGCCTTAAACAAAGCTTTCCCCCACCTTTTTAATACTCTTAACTTCAAGTCTGCAAAGTTTTAAAAGTTCATTCTTAATAAAGAACCTTTGTTTAACTGCAGAGAAATATTTCACATGCAACACCTAACACATTCTGTAAACAAACATGAGTAGGGCACAAGTATTATATTCTTTTTGTGAGGAGTATTTTACACATTTGGGCTAAAGGCTATTTTATGCAGTGACAAATGTGGCAGCAAGAACTCCCATCTGTCATAATGGATTTCTCAATATAAAAGTTTAGCTTTAATGGTGATAAGCAACAAAACCAGCCAAAACCAACCCCAATAAATCAAAGATGCTAAGGTACAGGGAGGTAAATTTGCATTGCCTGAGCTTCACCTGGAATCAGAAAAGCAGTGTACAATGGTATTGAGTGCCATGCAGTAAGCCAGTAATTTGCTGAAATACCCTTACAGTTTAAGAAAATTATGCATACCAGCTAGGGTCTCACCTGGTTAACAATGCAACTCCTTGGGCCTCCATCCCATGACAAATTTGCTACAACCAAGAACATGCATGCCTGCTGATTTTTATGGATGTATAAATTATGAGCTTTGCGAGTAAAATGAGCTAAACAGATTTCTTCTGATCTGGGGCACAGCAGTGCTGAGGCACAACAGAATCCTCAGAAAGAACTTTATTTTGTTAATGATTTTCCAAGAAAAACAGTTAGCAGCAGGGAAAGATTCTACACTCTCCTACCTCCTGGGCCTGCTTTGAATCAGTTCCGTCCCACTTTTCTCTAGTACACCCCTTTAATCTTTGTCTATTGCCTACTCCCAGACAAGCTTTACCTCCTAGGTGCAAACCTCCTGTCCAGCCCCAGGTCCAACCCCTGATACCAGTTTCCTATAAGAGCTGATGCTAATCTTTTCTTTCAGCCTCTTAGACCCTGCCTCACTGAAGCCCTTACTTCACTCCTTTCTCTATCTTACCTTTAGTTTCCTGTGCATTCAAATCAGACATTTTTTCTACCATGCGGCCAAGGGGACTATTAGAGAGGCACAGCCTTACTTGCACCCAGAGCAGTAAAGAAGCACAGTGTGTAAGGGGAAGTCTCCACTGTAGTTTTGTGAAGAACCCACCAAGACCTGCCAGAGTTGAGAGAGCTGAGTGAAAAATACTTTTAAAACATGTCACTTAATTCAGAGTCTCCAGTGAATACGGATAAATGGTTCTTTTTTCAAAAGGCCATTATTGCTTAAGTTTGTGGAAGCTTCTACAGAAAGACCAGAAAGTGACTTATCTGTCAGAGGCTATATCCCTGCCTCCTCGAAAATGCTAGATGTCAGTGATTTTCAGAGACAAGGTTATAAGAACTTACGTATTTGAACATCAACAAAATTACATTTTCTGGAAGTGTCTCAACAGTTCTAGGTAGAGCTTCCCTGTCAAAGTTTCAAACACAGACCATACTGTACACCTGGCATGGAAAACATCTGAAGGAATAGTAAGAAGGATCAGCTGACTTAATAGACAGTGCTAACAGCCATGCTGATAACATGCTGTCTCTCTCTCTCTTTTATGCAATTGCACACAGAGTCTGAGTTGAAATCTAATATAAACTATACAAAAGAAGAACACACAGATATTAAACTAAGGAAAACTTTCAGCTGAGATTGTGCTGGTTAGCTGAATTAGCAGAAGGTGAAGCTGTGTGCCTACCATCCAGTCATGTATGGGTAGTGGCAATACTGCAGCGTCTTCTACAACCATGTAATACTTCATCCATATACTTTAATTTCAATGGACAAAACTAACATACCACATGCCAAATTATTTTTTTGCATACATCTCTGCACCATCACAGGATTTCCTTTTCTTTCTAAATCAGCTCATAGCAATTATGTGGTAGAGAAACTAGCACCCACAGCAGGGTCAAAAATAACTGCAGAAATTAACACACTACCAGTTCCTTCAAAAGTGCCAAGCCAGAAGCAGCTGCAGTACTTACTAGTTATACCCTAAGCCCATTTTCCCTCAACATCCAAGTAATATATAACTTAGACCACCACTCACTTCAGATTCTGGCTTAGCATACACAGCACTGTAAGTATTACTGTAGGGAATTAAAACTATTTGGTAACTTCTCCTTATCAATCCTGTTCCAAAAGCAGCTTTAAATACGTGATTTATTTTTGCAGAAAGAAAAATGAGGTACTTAACCTTTCTGAAACTCCAGATAACCTCACATGAAAAAGCCATTGCATACACAGTAAATTTATACTCACAACCTTAAAGCACCCATATGAGAAGCAGCAGGGATTATTCCTCACCTTGATCCTGCTGACAGCTTCCTGAGCCTGCATCATTCTCACATTCTTGGAGGGAGTTTTATCAGAAAGCAGTTGAGTTGAGCCAAGGTAATTGGCAGCAAAAATGATTCCATCAATTAAGTCTTCAGGATCACAAGGTCCAGGAACTGTAACACAGGAAAGCAGTCACTGAAGAAAATCATGCTGAACCACAGCAAACCAGTAGCACTTCAACAACTTGAGCTTGTACCTGATGGCTGCAAATCCTCCTCTAAAATACTTCAGTTTAGCATGATGGTATAGCAACCAGAACCTTCAAAGGTACAAAATACCAACCAAATGCTCAAAATATCTGTGGTGGGTTGACCTTTGCTGGATGCCAGGTGCCCACCAAAGCCGCTCTATCACTTGCCCTCTTCCACTAGACAGGGAAGAACAATATAATGAAAGGCTTGTGGGTTGAGATGACAGGGAGTGATCATTCACCATTTATCGTCACAGGAAAAACAGATTTGACTTGGGGAAACTATTACCAGTCAAATCAGAGTACGTTAACATGAAATAAAACCAAATCATGAGAACACCGTCCCCTGACCCGTCCCTTCTTCCTAGGCTCAACTTCACTCCCCAGGTTTCTACCTCCTCCCTTCCAGTAGTGCAGGGGGGCAGGGAATGGGGGTTGAAGTCAGTTCACCACTTCATCACATGTTGTCTCTGCTGCTCTTTCCTCCTCAGAGGAGGACTCCTCACACTCTCCACCTGCGCCAGCATGGCGTCTCACTCACAGGAGACAGTCCTCCATTAACTTTGTCAACATGAGTCCTTCCCATTGTATGCAGTTCTTCACAAACTGCTCCAGCATGGATCCCTTCCATAGGGTGCAGCAGACCATTAGGAACAAACTAGCACCAGCATGGGTACCCCGTGAGGTTACAATTCCTGCCACCAAACCTGTTCCTTGGGCTCCTCTCTCCATGCATCCACAGGTCCTGCCAAGAGCCTGCTCCAGCTCTCCATGTGGTCACAGCCTACTTCAGGCACCATCTGGTCCAGCGTAGGGTCCTCCATGGGATGCAGGGGAAATCTGCTTCACTGTGGACCTTCATGGGCTGCAGGGGCACAGCCTCACCATGGTCTGCACTGCGGGCTGTTGGGGAATCTCTGGTCCAGTGCCTGAAGCACCTCCTCCCCTCCTGCACTGACCCTGGTGTCTGCAGAGCTGATTCTCTCCATGTTCTCACTCCTCTCTCTGACAGCAATTACTGTTGTACAGTTCACACCCCCCCCCCCCCCTTCCCTTCTTAAATATGTTATCCAAGAGGTGCTTCCACCATCACTGATGGGCTCAGCCTTGGCCAGCAGTGCGTCCATCTTGGAGCTGGCTGGCATTGGCTCTGCTGGACAGGGGGGAAGCTTCTAGCTGCTTCCAGCAGAAGCTATCCCTGTAGTCCCCCTGCTACTAAAATCTGACCATGCAAACATCATGTCTCCAGCAAAAGCTGTAATTGTTAATGCAGACTGTTTCTCAGAATAGCTCATTCTTTTGTAAGCAGGGATCACCCCGGAGCAAAATCTGTGAGCTTTCACTGTTATAAAGGGACACACACAGTTACTCAGTTCACCCCTCATCCACCAAAACCAAGCTTGCAATTCTAAGATCGACAGTCATAAACAGAAAGAGGAAGGGTGCAATTTAATAACAGCCACCAGCCACTTGCTCACTTGTGCATTAGCTGCAGTTAGTACAACAGGCAGACCAAACTCCCAGGGATGCTTTACAGGTACAATACGTCTCTCCTTACCAAGAAGACTGATTGCTCAATTAAGCAAAGCACTTTTATGCCATAGACCTTTAAGAATCACTCATTCTCGACAAGGATATTGAAGTAAAGTATAGAGTTAAATTATAATGTTGGTAAACAGACAGCAGGATGGCAAAACAACTCCCTTAGTTCCACAGTTTCTTAATTATCTGACTCCCACCAACTTTTGTGGAAAGCTAGAGGGTGACAAAGTGTTCAGTGCCTAACAATGCAAATCCTTACAGAGCAGAATTTATCATCTGTAAGCATTCTGGAGTTTGGCAATCATATCTAAAAATTGTATATGTAAAAATGTTTTATTTTGACTCCGTGCTACATGTTAAAATTGTCATGCTCCAATAGGGAGGTTGGTTAACTGAAGAAGCTTCTAGTTTTCTCAGAAGTAAAGAAAAAAAAGTTGATGTTCAGAACAAGTGAAAATGTAAATAATCTTAAAAGACTGCTGATGGTAAAAATGCCCACATTTTATCATCAATAAAACAGACTCTTAAGATTTGCTTTTTATTACTCTAAGAAGAAAGCAAAAAACCCTACAATATCAGAACAGTTTTTATTTGCTCAAGGGTCATCTTCATAAGAAGATAGGGCTTAAAGTTTAATATAACTCAGAATGCCAAGTTTGTTCTAATTATAACAGAAGAGATTAATGACCCCTCAAAATAAGCAGGGGCCCCAGAGAAATGCAAGTCATTATTGAGATTAAAACAACAGAAGAAAGAACTGGAAATATCACACTGACAAATATACATCCAGAAGGAGATGTATAAATCTTATGAGCAAGCTTGTCTCCTTTATGGTTTCTTTAAATTTTAAAGTTTATGACTAGTAATTTTAAGATGCTCATCTCCAGTGTGCAGAATTTGTTCAGATACTATGTACCTGGAAAACTCTAAAAATTAGTAAGTCTCTTCCAAGTACACAACACAAAGAAATTTTTTTTTTTTTCCTTAGAGAAATTCATGCAATTTATGCATCTGGAAGAACAACATATACGTACACTCCTCCAGTCCTGAAACCATACAGCATTTTAAGCGTTGCTATTTGTTACTCTGTCTGTCAAGGCCTTTTCACCACTTCGACCCCTTCACTATAAAGCGTACAAATCCCTTTAGAGTATGATTTCTGACCAAAACACAGAAGCCATTAATATGGACAAAGATGTAGATAAAGATCACAGAAGGAAGCATATGAAAACGAAAAAAAGGTATGTGCTGTATTTTCATTAGTGGTGAACACACAGACAGCACTGCTTTTTGAAAGACCTCTCTATTTATTACCTCTGACAATGAAATTATTATCTGAATGAAAGTGCAGGATAGGTGCTAGAAGTTTTTCTTGTACTGCTAGTGCATAAAAATGGAAATATTTTCTTTTGTAAGGAATTTTGCACTGGATCAATATCTAAGAAAATTTTCGTTTATAATATAATTTTTCTTTCTAAGGGGGGAAGATTATTTAAGATAGCCCTTGATAGACAGGACTACCATTAGTAGATGAATTTCAGTTCTAAGAAAGATCCTTCATTGCTGCAAAATTCCAAATCTCAGCTAGTTTCAAGATAATACACAAAATCTTCATTAGTTGACATTCCGGCCACAGACTCCGAAGTATGCAGTTTATATGCTGATGTCTAAACAAGTGATTAATTTGTAGTCTAAAGAGAACTATCACATAATCACTTAGACACAGCACACTGTAAAGCAATTCAAGGACTTCCAAGACAGCCTAAATGATGTATAGTATCAACTGTATTTCTGGCATTTCATGAAATGTATGATGAAATGCTTGATTGGAACTACCACTGACAGGGATAAAAAAAGGCAAATGAAACTTCAAATTTTCTCCTTCTGTCATGCCCTCATAACAAAATAACTACATTTCACAGTATGCAGTCTTCCTGTATACTCGAAACGCAAACTCATTGTCCTGGGTTCAGCAGTAGCAGTCATTTTTCTCCTTCTTAGTAGCTGCTGCAGTGCTGTGGTTTTGGCTTTCAGCCTGGGAACAATGCTAGAAACACCAACTTTTTTAGTTGTTGCTCAGTAATGTTTACTCTGACCGAGGACTTTCTGAGTCTCATGCTCTGCCAGGGAGGAGGGGAAGTTGGGAGGAAGCAGAAACAGGACACCTGACCCAAACTAGCCAAAGAGGTATTCCATACCACAGCACGTCATGCCCACTATATAAACTGGGGGCAGTTACCTGGAAGGGCTAGATCACTGCTTGGGTCAGGCTGGGTATCAGTCGGCAGGTGGTGAGCGGCTGTATTCTCTTCCCTTGTTATTTCCCTTATCATTATTATTACTGGTGGCAGCAGCAGTGATTTGTGTTATACCTTAGTTACTGGACTGTTCTTAGCTCAGCCCGTGAGAGTTACATTCTTTCAATCCCCTTCCCCATCCCTCTGGGAGTGGAGGGGAGGAAGTGAAGTGGAGTGATTGAGCAGCTGTGTGGTTCTGAGTTACTGTACCACGACACTCATAAAAAAATTAACAACAGTTCATGCTGTAGGCAACTTGCTCTTTCACATTGTTCTGAATAAATTATGCACTTGTACAAATCCAACCTTAACCCTAAGACTGTAAGCACTATTTAACTGGAGGACAAGTAGCTGTAAAGCAGCGTCTGCAGGCCTGCCAATTAATCCAATTAATCAATTCTGGATTAATCAATCAGTGCTGGAAAGAGCACGACAGTCTTCTTGCCTAGCTTATTTTCCTTGTCCACACATTCATATGTATTGTGTGAATACGATAAAAAAATCTGTGTTGTTATAAGTGATTTAAAAAGAAAACAGCAGAAAACAACAGAAACTATGAATTAAACACTAAAAAGTCTGAACTTCTGAAAGAGAATAGTAGGATTTAGCTCAGGTTCCAGACTGGATACAATTTAATCTAAATCAATATACCCAACCCTAACAGCTTTTCTTTTTCAGTAAATAAAATTTTATATATTATAAATACTGGAGTTTTTTTATATTAAAAAACATTTAGATTTGGAAATTGTAGAACCATCTTACCTTCAACATAGGTTGGAAATGAAGCCAAACTTTTTCTGGACTGTAATTAAGACAAAAAGGATTTCAAACAGAACAGAGCATGCACAAATACACTAAAAAATTAAAAAGTTAATCAGTCATAGTTAATGAGCAAAGGAAGACAACCACTTATTAAGATTTATTATTTTATTTAGTATTTTGAAACTCTAAGCACCTACTAGAGTTAAATGATGCATTAGGTTTCCGTCTTTGTCAGGCAACATACTAAGCCCAATTTTCAGTTACTTGTTGGTGTTCAGTAGTACACTAATTGCTACCAATAGATGTTCTACTTTTACTATCAGTAAGTTGCGCAAAAATGTGTCATATCTCAAAGACACTGGATCATCCAACTAAGAATAAATACATACAGGAATATATAAAATTATGCTATACTGAATAGATGGCTTTCATAACTGAAACCATCAGCCCAGTCACCCATTCATTAAGAAAACTGTGTTACTTATTACCCTAATCCTCTTATTCATCAGGATTGTTCTTAGATGTATCCCCTGCATTAATGCAGCCCTTGCACTAAAAAGCTTTCTAAATTTCAACAGTTTAGGTAGCAACCTGTATTCTGTGGGATAACAATTCACTAGCACTTGACCACCAACTGTGTTTACATTATATCAAGCATGAACCTACACCTGGTAGCTTCAATTACATAAAAGGTAAAAAAATAAAAAACATACTGATTTTCATAATGTAAATACACAGTTTAAGGTTTAAGACCTTACTTGCAACTGCTATTTTGTGTGAAAGACTCTATGGCTAACAATTCAAACACCTGAAAGATAACTTTCAGTAAGCTTCACCGCATTGTCATGATCAAACCACACAGAAAAAATTATCAGAGAAAATTTTATATGGCAACATATAGGTGGTAATAGAGATATTGAAATATCAGCTGCTATCATATGTGTTGCAGGTAAGAATTTTGGAAAGTCTGGATAGTGAGTACTTGACATTGAACTTGACATTGAACTTGACATTGATACTTGACATTGTACTTGACATTGATACTGACTGTATCAGCAGTAACTCTTCCAATGCTTAATACAGTTTTATTAAAAGAAAATGCATAATATCTTAGACATCTTCTAGTATATATCCAGACAATATACATTGAAATATACACCAGATTATTTTCCTTTAGGTCAGGCAGCTTATTAGGTTCTGTGTACTGGTGGAAAAAGCCAGGTAAACTAGGAAGGTTACAGTTATGTGGCAGGTTTGTTGACTAATCTGAAGAAGTCTTTTCCATTGTAACAAATAGAAGATGAATAGCAAGTAATATTTTTCAATCAGTGATGCTCATCTTGAATAAAATAAGATTCATGAAATGAAAGCAAAAGGTGTGTGATGGACAGCAAAGCCTGTGCAGTCTCTAAGTACTTGCTGGTCCTTATGAAATTGACTAAGCTGTACTGCGAAACCAAGAAAGCTCTCTATCAGAGATTGCGCTAGCATAAATAAAGATGCCACTAAACAGTGACCTCCCACTGCCGAAGCCCTTAAGCTTCTGTCAGGGCACTGACATGTCTTTTCATATCTGGCGTTTTCATCTCTTCAGATGAATGTTTTTACTGGACCACCTACCGATACAGGCTTTAAAAATTTTCTGTAAGTGCTAGTGGTGCAGTGGTAAGAGGGAGATTCAACCACTTGGCTCTGACAGACCTAAAAGGCAAATCCCCTATGCACCAGACAGCTCATGCATATAGATGCACTTTCCAAAGTATTTTCTTTTTCTTCCTTTTTTTTTTTTTTTTTTTTTTAAAACAGAGTGAACACAGCCTGTTACTACAGATTTAACAGCTCTTCAGCAATCTACTAGCTGATGCAACTTCTTTTCAGGGCAGAGAGATGTCAACTGTCATTCCATACGCTTTTATTGTAAAACCTTGCACAAAAGATCAAGCAATTTTTGTTCATTACCTAGGATGAAAGACACTCTACTAAGACCACAAGAATAGTAAAGTAACAGGTAAAGTTACCAATAGGAGGAAACCTACACCTTTTAATTTTACATATCCATGAATAATGAATTATCAAAGTCATTAATGTTTCATTTCTCTTGCTAGCCTCATTGCCACCTACTATTATAAAATTTATATAAGAAAAAAAGGTTTTACTAAGACCTAAAATTCATTCCCCAAACTTATGATGCTGCTTTACCGCTGTTGTTCTTGACTTGGAAGTACTAAAGCAGGAACTATTGCTCGTATAAGGGAAATAAGCAGCCTGGCAGATTCTACTGTGAAACCTGGTTTACCACCTCTGACATTATGTGTGAACACAACCTAAAAACTGAAATAAGTAGCGTCTTGTTTATTTTCTTCCTTTGGATAGGTCTATTGATGCCTAAAAACTGCTAGAAGTTACAATATATATGAGGAGACAAAAATCCATACAGAAGAATGCTAAAGGCTTTAACAAGCTAACAATACAGCAGATGAAAATTTAATGGCACTATCTATTTTTAAGTGCTTTAATATGAGACTCTCAAGTCTTTTGAAACCTTTCATTATTTTCTAAACACCAATACAGACTGGCACAAATACCTGCATGTTACAAGCTTTTTTATCCCTTGACAATAGGATATAATGAATAAGAAATAACGGATTACTAGTTAATGTTACCATTTTAATTAGTATTTCCAGTTACAGTAGATCAGTTTTTTTTCCACGGTGCAACATAACTCATGCATTGCTATCAGTAACAATGTGGTATCTTGTTAGACTACAGTTCCTACATTTTTCTGAAATTTAAAGAACAAAAGCTAAACAAACCAAATATTTGCAGATATTTCTGTTTACAGAGCCAGCCATTCTATACTAACTCAAATACTTAATGCCAAACTATTTTCTTTTCACCCTGTGATTTCTACTCACACATCTCACTTTGTGTTGGTAAGCAATAAAGTATTTAGCTTTATTTTAAGGAGCCTGGAAACAAATTCTGACTATGACTCACTGACAAGTCAGTTTCTACAATGGCAAAACATTAAGCAGTATAAGTTATGGCCTAATTAATTTCATGTAAGCAAGTTTTTTCATCTGGCTGAGAAACATTTTTTTTCTTGGCAGGAAGACATTCTGCAGGGGAAAAACAAAAAGGCTGATTTCTTTTGTCTCTGAAACTCAGATAATTTAGCTGTTTGATAAATCAATACCTCTCAGCCTGATTAATAAATTTAGTGGCTGCTGAACACAGACTCAGAAATGCTATGATAAACAGTCTTAGGTATGTTGAAATTCAGTCAGACAGCCAGGCAAGCTTAAGGGAAAAGGAGCAACAAATCAGCTTTTCGAGTTTGTTGCAACTTTGGAAGAAGATACAGGATTACAGAGGTACAAGGAGGCAAGAAAGATAAAAAAGCATAAGCAGCATGAACAAGACTTTAGAAAGATTTCACTTTACCTCTTTATTAGTGGAGGCCTCCTGATGATGTTGCCTACTTGATTCAGCACCCCGAGGTGAAGAGGAATCTGGAGATGGAGACTAAACATGACAAGAAAATCAACAATAATCTGAACAACCAATGTAGAAATTCTTCTTTCAGATTTTCTTCTGACTTGGCAATGGAAATAAGAGATGAGGGGGGAAAAATAGAAAAGCCAGAACAATGATAATAAAAGTAATAATAATAATAATTATAGAAAAAAAACCAAACCAACCAAACAAAAAAACCTAGAGAAACACTTTAAAAATGTAACCCTTGCTTTTTCTCGTGATGATCACATATCAAAATCTCAGTGGACTTACTCTCAACAGCTACATCTTTTAAAAAAACCCTGTGTTTATTTGTCAGTAATATAAAAAATTAAACATTTGGAAAAATAAAAAGCTGTACAAGCAGCACTCAGCAAAAAAGTGTGCCATGAAACTGTATTTTTGCAAGGTGAATGGATGATCATCTGATATTGGTATCGGGTTGACCCTACTGAAGGCTGCAGGCAATCTAAACCTATGTCCCAAGCTCTGACATGCTAGGAAAGAAAAGTCACTAAGTAAGGAAGCTGTGGTAAGACAGGTAAGTTGACCATGATCAGAACACAGGGATTCAGCTAAAGATTACGTAGTTGTCAAATTGAGGAGACTGAAGAAAAGACTGCAATTTCTCCATAAGCACACATGCTCTCAGATATAATTAATCTGAAGAGCTAAACTAATCTAATCTGAGCAGAGGTAGGCTACTGTGATTGTCCACAAATATTAATCCGTCATTTGAGAAAACAGCTTTTATAAATTGTACAAGGTATTACTAATGTATTCAAGGACTTAATTAGAATATATTCAAGGACTATTCAATACTAGTGTAATCAAGGACTATGATTCCTCACCTTAGAATGCAAATTTGGAAAATATTTCACAGTTCATACCATGATCTCAGTACTGTACATGCTCTCTAGGTCAGCTTTCCTCATTTTAATTCCTTCACTGTAAACAATTCAGTGGAGAAACTGTCCTTCCAGCTCTCTCCTAGCCATTCACGATCATCAAGAATGACACAACAGGAAAACAAAGGGAAGAGCACAGAAAAACTGTATTATGGAATATCTAGATCTGTATGATCCTTCAGCAAGTATCCTGGTAAAGGGAAAGAATGCCTTGGGAAAGGCTATTTTAATCACAGTCAATTCTAATGAATGTTGGTGGCACTAAAAAGCTATAGTGAGGTATATTCAGTCCAGACCAGGGGGAATGTTATTGGAGTACTTCACAAGAACACAGAGCGTGAAATTAATGAAAGTGATCAAAATGGAAGACAGTACAAAGCTTTAACCCAGCAGGCATATTTAAAGGCCAATCTTAAGGACATACATGCAAAACATGTCAGTGTTCATGTCAGAATGTGAATTCTCAAAGGAAGGTTTAGTATTTTGGCTATGCAGGCTGGGTGTTTACTACAGCAGTCTTGCCATTCTGCATTCTCCTTTGACATAAGGAGTTTGGCCCTAGGTTGCCAGCCCAGAAGTTCAACACTGATGGCAAAACCAGCAAATGCCATACCTGGTTTCACAAGCATTTACATAATACAGCTTTTCTCTAAGCCAAAGATCATACCAGAAAACAGCTACACTTTCAGTGCTTAGAGCTGGCAGCAGCTGCAATCTAGGAATGCCCTTCTGCTATGCCTCCACTCTAGCTAAAACACTGAGTACTAGAAATAGTATACAAAAGAAAAACAAAAATAAGAACAATAATAATTAAAAAAAACCAAAACAACAAACAAACACCAAAACCCAACTAAGAATTGCAAGCTTAGCTCCACAGATATGGAACAAACCAATAGAATTTCATTCTCCTCCTATTTTTCTTTACCCTCACATTGTTAAAAGGTCTATCTTCAATAATTGCTAAATATTAGAATTATAATTAACTAATAAAGGCTTCCAAAGAGGTAAGAAGCAATTCCCCATTATGCAGATAAAAGCGCAGTCCTTGCACCTCCCTGTATTTTGAGTTACAACTGAAGCGTAAAAAGGACATGCAGCTTACAACAATCTCTGACAATATGTAGCTGTAAAACGGTCCCTAGGACACAGACATGTGGGCCATCAGACTGAAGGGCTGCTTGCTGCATTCACAAAGGGGCTGTGGGAGAGATACAGGATCCCAGGACTTGCTTTGTAACTCTGGTTAGAGTTACATAGTGTCTCAGCTGCACGTATGGCAACTCCTATTGACTTGATGAATCATCCTCATAGTGCTCACATTCCCCACAGTTACACAGTATTTCTGTATTAAAATTAAATACAAAAGATGTGCAATACTCTCAACCTAATAATGACAGTGGAATATTTTAGGATTGAGTTTTAAATAGCAAACAAAGAAACAAAGTAAAACATTATTTTTTCAGCATCGAATGTCTCCACAAACAAAAAGTTATTTTAAATGCCTGAAAACTCTTGGATTCACATACTAAAGTGGTAACATTATTTATTTAAACCAGTTGGTTGCTGACATTAAAAAATTCTGCACCATTTAAAATGCATTAGCAGTTACTCCAGTAGCAGTACAAATACCTTTACCCAGCTATTTTCATCGACAGAGTACCAGAATTAAGCAATCATTAAAACAATCACATGGCTTTCCATGTGCTCTGTTTGAATGTCTGCTCAAATGTTTTCGGGGAAAAAACAGAAAACAAAAAACCAAAGCAAAACCCCTACAAAAAACATCCTATAAAGTTGGCTACATGACATCACATGAGAGTTGTCCCCAAGGACATCTGTACAAAAAAGTTCAGTCTTTGAAGAATAAGAACTCAGTTCTCAGCATCAAAATGCATTTTAGAGGTACCATACACATGCACAAGGAAAGAATGCAGTCACAGCAATAACAAAAAATATTTTGATACATCATAGTGGATAGAGAACTTGCACAACTCCTCAAAACACTTCCACTGAAGTCTAAATTCTTAGTGACTGCGTCATTGTCTGTTAACAGAACAAGTTCTAGAAGTCTAAGAAAAATGCTGTCAGAACACATACAGTAAGTTCATGGAAAGCATGCTGCTATTACACAAAGAGGTTCATCAACGGAATTACAAAGTGTTTCCTTAGGTGCAGCAACAAAAAAAAAAGCACTATTCACCCCATTTGTCCTCTTGAAATATATACTTACATTTTTTTTACGATACTCAACCTGGTACATCCAAAAATTCTCCATCTCAATTTTGGTGTTTGACTCTAACTAACACGCAATGCACTGCACCTGAGAAGCCTTCCTTGCTATTGTGCAGAGGGATTTAGTAACAGAACTTGTAACAGAAGAGGACTGTGCAGCACTTAACCTATACAGATCCAGCTGGCTACTGAATAGCTCATGAAGCTCTTGCTCTATAAAAGCAGTGTAGTTTTACCTGCTCTTATCAGCAGCATATCTTAGACGAGTATAACCTAGTGGGTCACGTCATCACATACAAGGCCGGGACAGAGGGCATGAAATCAATAAATACTTCAGTAATGCAAGATTCACTTAAACAAAAGGGCATTATTTACATAACACTAATATCTACATAAGGCTTCTTGGCAGAGGAATGGCAAATATTGTCTTCCTGTACATTAGTTCAGAGTAGGCAAGTGGATAAGGCAAGGCTTTTAAATTTATTTTATTTTAGTGATAAAAAGGGACCCATACACATTAGGCAAATGTCAAAGCAATATGAAAACATTTAGGTCCCACATGCAAGTATAATTTCACAAGCACTGCCCAGTACAGCATAACTATGGCAGTAAATGTCTTTGTATTTATCACAACTATGCTGTGGCAGAGTGTCTAGTGTGATTTGAACAGTTCAAATTCTATTCACTAAAATGTAGACCAAGACCATCAATGTATTCATAGCTTTTAGACAATAAAAAGTACCCATAAAGAATGGAATTGAATGCTAAAGTTCCTTACAATATAGCTAAATATGACTATCAATTGTCTTTGTTTAAATTTGCTTTAACTACATTGTTAAAAATGGAGAGTTTGAAAAAGCAAAGCCAATTCAGAATTACTGTACACATTCATGCATACTGTGGCACAATATATCAATTTATAACTGTGACATAAGGATGAAACTCAGCTTGACTGTACTTGTGGTGTAACTGCAACTGAAACTCAGCTTTGACTGTACTTGTGGTGTAACTGTAATTGAGATGTAACTGCCTCTGCACATACCCAGTGCACTTATCCACTAGTCAGCAAACTGATGGGTGGTCCAGGACTTGCCCCAGGCCACTGTGTGCAGGTGATACGAGTTGACCTGAGACAGGGTGCTTTATTTTGCCCATTTCTTGGCCGCCTGACTCAATAGCAGGGACCATGCAGTACGACAACCACACACTGTAAGTTGGTAAGTTCTCTTTGAATAAAATCTTAGGCTGTATGGACTCTGACTGCCCATCAGATCACACACACATGCAGTGTGGGTAAGGTACATTCAGCAGCATGCATGTTGGATGGAAGGCTGCCAGCCCCAGCAGGGCTCCTGGAAGCTAGTTCACTGCTGGCTGCTTCTCTTTCTCAAGTACAGACTTCCTTAGCTGCACTTTCACTTGAACTCGTAGTTTGGGTGTAGCTTCATGTGTCAGTCTGAAAAAATTAGTGTGGATCTCTCAAGGGTTTTCAAGAGACTTTAACTGTACCAAGTGCTGTTCTAGTTTTCAACAGCACAGAAACATCACTTGAAATTGCTTTAATTGTCCAATAATTAAAAACCATAATAAAACAAACAACAACAACAACAAAAAAAAAAATAAATAAAGGGGCTAGGTATCCAGTGCTCACTGTAATTTAAAAGCCTGTAACTCAGCTGGAGAGTGTTTGTCTTCACAGAGACTAACCAATAGATTTTTCTTCTGTATGATCAATGGATTAGCAAAAAGCTTTCATCCCTGGATATTAAAATGTTTTTTTTTTTAAATGACTTTTTGTTTGGGGTTTTTAGATGTGATTTTTTTTTTTTAACTAAGACTATGGTCTCACATAGATGACAGAAAGATGACCTGTATTCTGTGTGCTCAGCCAACAATTTAAAAAGGTCTGCTCAGAAAAAGAAAATATCATATCTATACAAACTCATCTCTGTTTCATTTCTTTCTCTCTCCTTCCTCTCCCCCCCCCCCCCCCCCCGGCTTAGTTCATCTGTTACTGAAACCTGCTTAATTATTTAAAACAGACTTGTTTATTGCCTTGTTAATAATACATTACTCCTGCAGTGGAAGAAGTGAAGCAAATTCATCTCCATGAAAACACCTCACTTTTGGAGTTATCAGAATTGAGAAAATCCTGTAACTGAAAACTCAAAGGTTGAAATAAAATACATGTAATCAAAACCAAGTGAGAAGCAAAACAATGCAGCTCAGTTCTGTTCTACCTGAAAGGCTTGTCTTCAGCTCTGATTTTCTACTTCATAAATTCAAACTACCCATGAACATGGTTTTACTTTATATAGGGGTTTATTCTAACATGACACCACCTCAAGTGTCTGCAGAGGAACAGAGATTGCAAACATCAATGAGAGGGCTTTGCAGAACCAAAGTCTTGGCACACAGCAACAAACTATGCCCTGCAGGTCAACAAAACTTGAACTTCAGATCTATAACCCCAAGTATATCTGAATAGACTCCAGAAAAAGGTCATGGAATTTAGTTCTGAAATGTAGACATTCTCCCTTCAAACCACTGTTCTCTCCTGATTATGGCAGAAACAAAGGAGGCAGCCTTCTCTTCTTTGGACACAAGAGGACAGATACACTCTTTTAACTACCTGAGCTTTTTTGGTCTTTCAGTGCTGTTCTCAGCAGGTCTCTGTACTTCCACAACTAAGCAAGCCACTATTCTCAAAGCTGTATGACATTTTTAAGATGCTTTCTTAGACATTCTGTTCAGTTTATACACTATTACATTTAATTGCATTCTGAGACATCTACTACACAAAACTTTTCCACCATAATCCCACATTTCTTGCAGTTGTGCAGCTCTAACTACCACTATATTTGAAAAAGACATCCTCACCAGGCTATATGTAAGTGATGGTCTGCTTTGGTTTAAAAAAAAACTTCTGATAAACAGATTTTGGAAATATATGCCCATTACTCATATCTCATATGTGTAACAAACATAAAAAAAAAATAATCTTGCCATATTTATTCAAAGGACGCTGAGGTAATTTTTCAGCTTTTATCAAATAGACATAACACCTTCCCCACAAAGTAGATGTCCAGACCATTTCTAAAGGGAAAGTATGCGTCACTAAACTGGGATGCACAAGGAACACAACAGCAAATACTCTCCATTGTTAAATATTAAGCAGGTAATTCAGTACACAATTTATTTATTCACAGAAGTCTGCTACCTGCCTCCTAGAATACAGGACTACCAGAGCCTATTACAATAGAACTGCCCATGGGCTGTGAGCAATTTTCTTTTCTTGTATACCTGCTAAACATTTATTTTGAGGAGAAACAAACAAGAATGACTGAAATTCCTGGTAGATTAAACTGTGACTAAACCTGGAAATGGGGCATCTTAAAACCAAATGCATACAGTGATCTGTAGCTTTCTTATCACCATGGTCTTTCCTAACAGTCGTAAACTATACACAGCTGTAGGCAAGCTGAATACTTTCAGAACACTAGCTTCCCAAAACAGTCTCTGGACATTTCAAACTAGTATCTACCAAATATTTTGCTGTAAGTATATCATCCAAATGCTCAGCACTATGGAGTAACAGTGGCTTTCTGGTGAAAAAAAGGCAAAAGAGGCTGTCATATTTCATGAGTCTCAACTGCAAATCACTCTTCTGACTCTCTGGCTTCAGTGGTCTCTCATGGAGAGCTCCTAGCTAAATAAAAAGTGACTGCTATTTGGATCTAAAGAGGTCTTACCAGTTTCAATACCATATGATTAAGAACACAAAATAACTACAGATATTTAGAGGGATGTTCTACCTCTAAATGCAAAATGGCTTTGTTAAAAAACAATGCAGGCACAATTTCCAAGGTAGTCTCACAAAACAACTGAAGGTAACAAAAGCACCCACAATGCATTACTTATCTGCAGCTCCTTGATAATTCTGGGGCCAGAAAAGGGTGTCTGCCTGAAGGTAAAACACTCTCTTTACGCAATTCCTTCTTATTTCAAGGCCAGTGTCACAAATCAGACTGAATAACATCTCTGGCTTATACTGATTATACTGAAAAGCTCCTGTGTGAGATCCTGTTTTATTTCTCAAAGGAGATAAAGGAAAACCTACATTTAGATGAACGGGCTTCAACTGTATTTTTATTAGAATTAATCACTCATGGCCACTTAGTCCTAATTGTAAGAATGCTTTGTTAAAGAAAGCAGACTGTTCAGACTTTTCATGAGTTGTCATCTGAATTAAAGAATCCAGTAAGACAAATGCATACCTCACCTTCAGTGAAAAAGAGAATTCCTACCCAGTCCCAAGTCCCTTCTGCAGCATGTGCTCCCCTCAATCTGTACAGACTTTCTAAACAATTTGCTTAATTTACTTCCCCTTTTACTGTCTGCCCACACATCTACAACCACCCTTGAACTGAGATATGCTGTCATTATACATTACTGATGTGATTACTAGCCAGCACTGAAAATCTAAGTTAGGCTCCTATGTAAAAGCCTGCGAAAAATCTTGAGTAAGAAGTTAACTTTGGTGCAAAACATAAACCTGTAGTATGTACATACAGACTGCTGGAAACACCTGTTTTGTTTACTATATGAACATACTAGGCTGAGTCCTACCAGCATACCTTAGAAAAGTTAAATTCTGCAAGGTGCAGCAAGATGTGGGAGAGCAGCTGGAGCACCTTCAGGAAGAATTCAGTGCTTTTAGGATCCACAACTTAACATCACTGAGATCATCATGGTACTGTGTGTTACAATTAGACAATCAGGAAGCAATAGAAAACTCTTTGATCCTTCCAGACAAAGACACCACTTACAAACAGGCAATGTGGTGAATAAAATGAACAACAAAAGAATTCTGTGATCTATTAATAAAACTAGAGAGAAATAAATTACAGGTTTTGGAAACTTTTAAAGTTAGAAATAATTCTTGTCCCATACAGAATAATCTGGGAACATTGCTTTAGCCCTCCTTGTGCCTGCAAATCAACTTAGTAACAGACATAATTTTAAAAATATCTCTAGAAGTAATTTTTGCAATACAGGTTGCTTTAAAAACAAGAAAAAAAAAACAATGAAACTATGAAGAAGCAAAAAAAAACCCTCACCAATCCAGACATACTCATCACTGTCTGTTTCCAACAGTTTTCCAGGAAAAATAAAATCATAGAATCACAGAATGGTTTGGGTTGGAACGGACTGTAAGATCATCTACATTTCTAGAGCCTGCAAATGGACAGAAACCTGCAGATTTTCTGAAATATTAATCTGATCTACAATACTATCATAAAGAACATTGACATTCCAGATTTCTGCTGGAACTGTTAGGGTTGTTAGGTGACAAAAAGTGAAATTTATGATTAACAAAAACACACAAGGATAGATTACAGAGGACAAGGAGTTTGGTAGCTATTCTAAAATATCCTATGGCAGTAAAAAATGGAACAGTATTTGTTTCAGAAAAAGAAGTAAAGAGCTTAGTGTGGAAAAATTTTATAAAGTGTACTAGGGTCAGCAGTGCTTCATAAACTAAAATGTGGCCCACTGATCATGCACATGCTTACCTCTTACATGCTCTCTAGAGTACTAATTTAACATTAACAATGCTTTACCTACTTTAGTGCAGGGTGAGTCACAGAGTAAGGAGAAAATGCACCCTCCTTCACTGCCATTTTTGTCACAATTGAAGGAATAAGACATACATAACCTGACAGATGAAAGCTTCGTATACTCACATCGCCATCTAGTGGCCTCTGGTCGTCAGAGTCCTTGGTTGGACTGATGTCCTGCCTCATCACCCAGATAGGTTCCTTAGGTTCATCAGGGGTATAAGGAGAACGAATGGTCCTCGTCTTCACTTCCTCAATAGCCTCTTTAATATCCTTGATGGCCAATGAAATTGCATCTCTCTTTTCCTTACTGTACCTCTGTACAGATTCTCCTGAGCTGGATGTAACTCGAGAACCAGCTGGGAGATGGCCATTACTTTCATGCCCATCACCAGCAAGAGCATGACCATGCTTCAAACTCTGCTCTGCCTCTGGCATGTCTTCAGCTGCCTTGTCTAAACTCTGGGAGCTCATGCTCTGCTTCACTTCTGCTACAATCTGATCAATATCCTCCTCTTGTTCATAACTATCCATTCTTGGGTAGGGTGCAAACTCTGCTTCCTTCTCAGGGCTGTCAGACTCTCCATCAGACCGTTCATCATAATGGTGAAGGCGGGCACCAAGTGCCTCCTTACGGTAATTATCGGCTTCTTCCCTTTCCCGCTCATACTGTTGGATACCCTCTCTAGCATCGAGGTCTGGTGTATCTCCTATCTCCTCATATACATGCTCCTGCAGTCCATAGTCAGCATAAGGCTCAGCATACTGTTCATCTTCTCCTCGGTGGAAGAGCCGATGTGTGTAGACATAACCCGAGTAGGCTGCATTCATGGCTTCCTCGTGTTCAATGGAATGGAAATGTAAGTGATTAGGCAATGTCTGATTATGAATGGCCTCACCATGCTCAGCCTCAGCATTCTCTGTGTACTCTTCAGACTCAGGCCTGTACTGCACAGCATATGCGCTCTCATCCTCATTTTCCTGAACTCTTTCTGTGTCGTAACTGTCCTCCACTGTGGCTATCACATCCCCTTCTGCAGTATCCGTGTGATTGTGGAAACCACTCTCAGTGCTGGCTGACCGAGCTAACATCCCTTCTTCCTCCTGCCCAGACAGGCCTCCTTGGCTGCTGTTTGTATGTCTTGGGTAGCGAGTTGCATACCGCTGTTCCTCTTCCACCTCTGAGTGGTCCAGGTCAGCCTCCACTGATTCGTTTACTGCTCCATTTGCTGGCTCTTCACTTACCTCCCCCACAGGCAGTCCAACCAAATGGTTCATGGCAAATTCTGGTGGGTAGGTCACTTATTGTATTGACATTTTGTCTATCACAGCTGGAAAGAAATAGAAAAGAAAACCAATATTTGATGTTACTCTTCCAAAAAAAAGTGGAGTCAATGAACACAAGCAACAAAAGGCACCCTTCCTTCCCCAGCAGGCAAACATTTCACTTTATGAGCTCTGAAGTCAGACCACAGCCAGCACAACAGTATAACCCCCAATCCAAATGACCTCCAGAAGCAGGAAGCAACAGTGATCCCCTGCAGAACTGCACTTCTGACTTCTGTGTACAAATTCTTTGTGGAAGAATCACTTTCAAGCAACCTGATGGAGACGCTTCCACTGACTGTTCTGGCATTTCAATGACATTGGCAGGTGCATGTTAGAAAAGCTAACTCTGGCCAGCAGCTCAATCATGGTAGAGTTATGACAGAAATATTCCACCCTTGCTCCACCTCTGCCTATAGCTCACTAATTCAGTGCAAGGGAAGGATGCTGTAATGTAAAATGACAGATTTAGTCCCATCGCAGGAGTCTGCAATTGCTCAGATACATGACAGCTATGCATACGACCGTTTTTCAGTATGGTATCTTTGGCTGAGATAGTCAGCCTCTGCACTTATCATTGGAAATAAAAATATACTCTCAAGGTATCTGAAGCACCTGTTCTTTCTCCCTAGGGAAGCACAAGACAACTAGATACAACACAGTTACCATCATGAGATGTATCTATAATCACTTTAGATGACTTCTACACCAAATCTCTTTCCTAAAATATGGAGAAGACATTACTAATATTCTTAACCATGACCACATTGACAGTAGTGAGGCATCTTAACCTTGCTGACTTTGAGTAAAAGATTGTATAATAACTAGAGATGTCTGCCAGTAATAATAGGCCATAAAAAAAGGCCACAGAAACAGCAGAACTCCATAAAACCACAGATTAGCTTCTAAAAGTTTCCTGGAGCAAACAAGCCTACCTAGCTCAGAATGCTTAATTTTTATATAAAAGCTTCAGCAATTTTGAAGCTTGCCCTATGTTTTTAAAATGTAGTGTCATAAAAAGGACATTTTATGTCCTTTTAAGACCCTGAGTTAAACCACATGTCTGTAAGTAAAATATAGGTCTGGCATGTGACTCAGTGGTAAGTACTAAAAGAAAAGATACCTTATGGAAGAGTTATAACTTGAAGGATCTATAAAAGATCAATTGGTCAATTACTAATTACAAAAATAATGTGATGCAAAATAGAACATGAACTAAATCTACTGAACTGAGGCAAGGAAACTCAGGTGGCACACTTTGCCAACTAGACAAGTGCTGTGCAAAAGGGCTGTGGGAATAACGTCCCGTGGCAAGAAAGCAACAGTAATTTTAGTTGCTCTCTATTAGGAAAGTCAACCTGAAGGCAAGACTAGATGGGAATTACTTACACTAGGCTTCCATGGGAAATTCAGTGGGTGCACCTTCCAGCTCATCTAACCCTCCTTGTCTTTGTCACACCTCATATTTTAGCCTTTAAAGCTTTGGAGTCCTGAAAAAAAAAAAAAAATAAAAAGGAAAAAAAAAATATCCTGGCCCTTGCTCCAGACAGATCCTTTAATTTTCAGAAGCAGCTCATACATAGGTTTTGCAAATCTAGCATGCTGTGTTTGACCTCTAAGACTTGCCTTTCCCACTCTCAACACAGGGGAGAAAAATGTACAGTATGTGATACAGTATATACAAAAATGCAGTTATAAAATAATACCTAATAAATAACATTAACTGAACAGATAAAGATGTTCTATACAAACTGATCCTTTTTCTATGAAAAAACTCAGTTTGCTTCTTCTAGCTAAAGAATATATGTTAGTTAGAAGCCTTCACTGAAAAGGTAAGGCTTTTTTCCAACTAAGACTTCCAGGTCTATATGCAATGCTATGCCAGGACTAACAAATCAAACACTCTCCCCACTGCAGCATATGATATATTTAAGTTAACAGGAGCAACAGTATTGGAGAGCTTTCCTTTTTAAGCCCTCGAAAGGAAGGGTGAAGATGCCAAGGCGTAACAGCTCTTTGAAAAGTCCATTCCAAGCAGGATTACCTGCTCCATTGAAGTAAGTTATAAAATTTCCATTGCTTTGCAAATATACAAGAGTTAGGCTAAAATAGAGGTCTGTTTAAAAATACTAGCTTAAATGTGTTGCATTCAGAGTAGCCCCTAACTCGCACCTAAGTGTCATTAGTCACCCAGCGAAAAAGGGCAGTACTACTTGAGAGAAATGAAGTTATATGTAAAGCCAGGACGATGACCAATTTTCTGAAATTTTTAATGTATCCTGCCACATTTTTAACTTAGAATCAGAGAACAGTTTGGGTTGGGAGGGACCTTAAAGCTCATTTAGTTCCAACCGCCTTGCCATGGGCAAGGACATCTTCCACTAGACCAGGCTGCTCAAAGCCCTGACCATCCTGGCCTTGAACACTGTGCCAGGGATGGGGCAGCCACAGCTTCCCTGGGCAAGCTGTGCCAGCACCTCACCACCCTCACAGTAAAGAACTTCTTCCTAATATCTAATGTAAATCTCCCCTCTGTCAGTTTAAAGCCATTCCCCCTTGCCCTGTCACGACATGCCCTTGTAAGAAGTCCCTCTCCAGATTCCCTGTAGGCTCCCTTGAGGTACTGGAAGGCTGCTCTAAGGTCTCCCTAGAGCCTAACAGGTCCATATCTTTCCTATGTTGGGGGGCCCAGAGAAAAAATGAATGCTATTGGGAGTCAATTATCTAAAGTTAGAAAAGAAGGTAAAATTCAACTGTATGAAGACTATGTATACCTCAAGTCAAATAAGGTATCAAATGCCACAATATTTACAACAAGAAAAGTTCTGACAATTTCTGAAATTTGGTGAACCTGTTTTAGAAATTTTAATACATGCTCATAAGACAATGCGTATTATGGACAGATAGCATTAGTGGTATGTCTAGCTGTGAGAAACAAATTATAGAGATTATAAACCATACAAAACATTGCTAATAACACCTGAGAGCCCCAACATTTTCCTTTTTCAAACTGAAGGTTTCCAAATTTCCACCTGTGAAATTGCTCAATTTGAAGAATGACCTCAGGTTAATTTCAGATATTGAAAATTTCAAAGGTATGTCTTTTGAGGGGATGAAGAGGAAACTTTAAGCTTTACACTGAAAAAAAATCCTCTTCTCTTTGCCATTCCTCCAATAATTTCAATTTAATTTAACTTTTTAATTTTGTAAGTAAAAGAATATTATTATCAAATGTATTTTGGAAAAAAAAAAGCAAAGCAGAAATCTTACTTGCTAGGAAAAAAAATATTTACTTATAGAAGTATAGTTTGAATAAATATCCCTATGTCACCTAAGCCCCAATATACTTCAATGAAAAGTAAGCTTCCAAGTCAAGTACATTAACTTGACTGTTTAGCAATCAGTCTTTAGGACGGTAATTTATAGAATCACCTATTAAAGTTGGGTGTTAGAAGCACTAAGTCCCTTTTCATATATGGTAGCTGTAAGACTACTAAACTTCACATTTTTTTAATTCTTGGTAGCACTTTCCTCAAGCAAATACAAGGTCTGACTGATTTTTCTCACCAGGCCTTCCATAAGTACTTTATTTCCAGCAAGCAATCAAAAATCAATAACTTACATAAAATGCCACAGACAGAGGAGAACTTAAGCAAGAGAGGTCATCTGACCTTGGAAATAAAGGCACAGCACCCATCTGAAAGATATTATACTCTCATATTAATTACTCTGAACAGCAGCTGTGCTCCAGTAATCAAATATACACAGGAAAGTGCCCTGTAAGCACTCTTAGCTTTGCACTCAGGGCTTGATCGATGAATCTGTCTTCAAAATAGACAAATCAGAGGTTGATTACTACTGCAACCAGCTCTTTGCTGAAGGTTAAACTACCTGCCTGCCTGTAAAGAAGAAAAATTAAACATCTCCATATATTTCTGAAGCAACATGAATACAAAGCTGGAAGTTTAAGGATTTTTCTCTGCTACTTTATATTAAAAAAAAAAAAAATAATTTAAAACACCACCAAGAGGCACACTGTTACCTCAGAGCAAGACCACAACACCTATGCCCGTTGTTACTCAGAAAAATACATGTAATAAGAAAAGATGAAAATGTGACTATTCAGCTTCCAATTTGTTTGTTATTTGTTTTCCAAATATGTATAACATGTATAATTGTTTGCTTTCTTGTGCATGCAGGCAGAAATGAAGCTTTTAAAAATTATTATTATTATTATTTCCAATACACTTAAGAGTTTACTACATAAGAGCATTATGCATTGTATTTTCAGAGTCTAATACTGTCTTTTTGGAATGAAAGATCACACTATTGATAGCTATGTGTACTACTGTTAGTGCCTCAAAACAAAAGCCGTGTACACCATGTGGAACCAAGACTACACACACACTTTTTTTTTTGTCACATATAGGATAATAAGGTAACTCAGCTAAGGAAGGGACCACAGGAGGTCTCCAGTCCAAGCCCTGCCCAAAGCACAAACAACTCTGTCTTTAAGACAAGGGCTCCAGTCCCACCATCTTGGTGGCCCTTGTTCCTCTCCACCCAGTTTTTCAGTGTCATTCCTGTATCTCGGACCCAAAGGGAAGGCAGTACCCCTGTGGGGTCTGATAGGCACCAAGCAGAGGAGTCAGCCCCTGCCTTCTCCGGCTCTCAGCCCATATCCTTCTCACACTACCCAGGTGACCCTGTCCATTTTATTCCCTGCCACGGCCATGTCCCCGTGCTGCTCCTTAGCCTCAAGAGCCCCAGCCTCTAGCATTGCAAGGCCTGTTTACATACATATACCTTTGAAATGAATCTTTTCACTTATAAGAAGCATAACTGTTTATCAAGTGTGTAACCAAAAATAGTTCTGTCTTCTCCAAAAAAACTTTGGACATATATACATCCATGTCTTTCATAAAAAAATTGCAATTCTCTGAATATATTTACCCAAAATTACAGGCCACATTAGAAGCAGAGAGACCTCTGACTGAATTTGCAA